TAAGAGCGGGCCTATTGAGTTTTAATCGCACTTTCCAACGAGTCAGTTGCATAACTCGACCTTCGGTATACCCATCGGATGTAGGGTCGTCTCTTATTTTGCTGTTATTAGTAGAAGTAATTATCGTTATCTTACAACAAGGCCCGATCTCATTATTTAAACATTGTCAATAAACTATTTTAGCTAGACTATCTTCTTCGCCTGATATGTATATTTAGTGTGTTGATTAGATTATGGAAATATAAAGAATTACAGTAGGTATGTAATGGTTAAGAGCTTTTTATCATTATATAATAGTACAAGTTGGTACTTATAATTTAAAGAACAGCTATACGATTCACTATATTTTGAGCTTTCAGTCCTTTTTCTTGTTATATTTTCTACGGTTAGTTTAGTTCTTATATCGTATACTATGTGTATGAAATAAATCTTCTCTATATAAGCAATATCTAATAGCATTTGTAAATACTAGAAACGTTTTTTCTCTTACGAACTGAATAATTAGTGATAGTGGCAACCCTATCTAAGAATACGATGAATTTCTTTTGTAGTTAAACAAAAGAGTGGACATTGTTGAAGATGAGCGGGAGGATGGCCGCATTATCGACTTTCAACTAGGATGAGCTCAGTAAATACCCGTCCTCAGCGAATTACGCCGTCCTTAATATTTGACCCACTATGGCGACGGCTTTATTATGTGACAAATATTACCGGGTCAGCAAAGAGAACTCTTATAAGATGAAAGAAATATGTTCTCTCTTTTTTTAATCTGACGGGTTTTTTAAAAGCAGACGCTCGCGTTTTGATACCGTTTAAAGAATTTCGTTCAAAGTTAGCTTAAGCTAATTGAAACTCGGTTACTCTGTGGTAGCCGAGTTCTAGTGGAAACTTTTAATTTAGTTAAAACGTCGGATGTCGTCGAAGAAACCTTTTCAATAAGTGAACACTCCAGGTAATATTTCCAATTAAAAGTTTGAGGGTAGATTGAAGTTCGATCCTCAGCCGTCGGCATACGATATGGCAGTAAATAGCAAAGTGGGAGAAGTACCTTTTCAGCGTAATGTGGAGCTTATCAGACTCGTTAACTTGTATGAGTTACTTGACAGTTTACTTCGAACTATGTTTATTATCAATTGCTTTACTTCCTTGATACCTATCACTTCATCTCACTTACTACAGTTAACTCCGTTCACTGAGAAATTTTTAAATAAACGTTAAAAAAGTGATTATTGTTTATACCCTTTAGGCCGAAAGAAATAAAAATAAAAAACGAAAACCTTTTATTATTTTGGAATAATCAAAAAAGTAAATTTCATTATTAATTTATTACATTTAATTTTCAACTTTCATCGTTATTAAGGGTGATGAAAACAAACTGGGTGATCTATTTCGCTAAAAAGAAATACTTTCACTTCCAATTAAGGCTAATATAATAATGAATAGATCATCACCCTTACAAGGTAATATTTATCAATCAGTTGGGTGCAACGACCTCGGCCTGAGAAAGTGGCCAGTATCGCACTTTCGATGCCGTATTGTAGCGGACCCTGTTATGTCATACATTAAATATATCATCGTATTTCTTTCTGCGAGTCGTTTCTTCAAAGTAAGACATTTTACGTAGCACAAATATTACCTAATACTAGCTGTGCTACCGACATCGTCCGCGTGGAATAGTTATTTTGGACATCATCATATTTTTGCAAACGACCTCATTTATAAATTATGGCTCTCACGGATGACATCGACCGCGTCCTGTCGCGTCGGTCTTTAATTTTTGTTGTTCAATAAACAATCTAACCTACAAATAAATAAATTTTCGATTCGAAATAATAGTGTTCAAACAATTTCTTTAGCTTTATATATTAGTATAAATATATTAGAGACTCTATAGGCCTAGCGACTTTTATAATGAAGGCTGAGATTTTTCGAGAGATTAGATTATAGAATTCGAGAATTTTTATTCTTGGATACATCCTAGGAGTAAGACATTTCTTTAATCGTATAGTTTAAGCTCCTAAATATTCACAAGGCACGAAAACAAGCAAATAGAGTCAGATGAAAGGTTTTAATTATAATGAAGCAGCCTCTGAAAGTGTGCGGTCTGTGGCAGGAACAATGCTCTGGCATAGATGTTATCTAGGTTATGTTGTCGGGAATATGTACTGTTGTTTAAACTGTGGACGAAAATATGCAGGTACATTTTACGCTGTTGAAAAGTTAGTAACCGCCGTTCACTTTTAAACGAATGTGTACACCTAATAAGGGCAACTCGCGTCAGACAATTTCTACTATATTATATGTATTTTACATCGCCAATACTAGTTTCGTTAACTAACGTGTGGTTAAAAATGTCACACTTAAATTAATAGCCAAATAAACTACAAGGAAATATCGATATTGCAATTTCATAGGACAGTCGAATGAAAAAGTGGAAAGATTCGAAACACTCAATTGCACCGTTCACTGTTTCAACATTTATGTGCGCGACTGTACGATGCATTAAAGGGATTAAATGGGGCACAATAGCTTTGTACTGGCGAAGCGAAAAGTGTTTTAGAAAGAGATAAATTTAAGGTAGATGTGAAATGAATGGCACTGTGAAACAGTAAAGTGTATTAGTTTAGATGTGATAACAAATAAAGTCATTAATCAGCTTTTTCTTTTTCCCACACGGGGTTGAATATTTTGAAAAATACTTTTTAACACAATGTTTTAACAGAAAATGATCAATCTTTACAAAAGATACCACATTGTCCTTACATAGCTTTAAGCTCAAGAAAAAAGCAAACCAACAACAACAAACTGGCTAATGAGAAACATGAAAGGAACTTTTTGACACGAGTGTACAGTTGCATTAACTTGATTACAGTTTGAAACAGCACACGAAGAAAGTTTCGCTGGACGCTCGCGTTGTTTAAACTATTACTGTGTGGTATAAATACGCTGGGTTCCGGGGAATGGGGGACGGAAGCAGAACTATAACATGGCTTGTTATTATTAATAAAAATACATGAATGTAATCAAACCTACAGATTAGGTATGCTGCGCGGTTTAAAATTCTCTACAGACAAAGAGAAGCCTTTTTAATTTACTTATCTTCAATATTTCTATCTATTTCTATACTTCTAATACAGTACTCTAAAATAAGAATTATACTCTTAAATAACAATCTATTCAAGAAAATATCCGACAAGAAAACTAAAGGCACTCGTGGAAAAGAACAGAAGCGTCAGCTTACCGATCTTAAACTGTATTTCATTACAGTTACGATTCAGTTTCGCATTTTCCAACTAGATCTATTCCATTCGATAAATGGAAAGGGATATTGTATTTACATAAATATTTGAAAATTATCTTCATTTGTCGAGTAGGTAATATTTATTATTGGTATCTATTGGGGGAATTCTGTGTCGAAGTAACATAACATGGGAAACCACACTTAGTACATTTTAGTTGTTTAGCTTTCAAAGCAATATTAGGGATTTAAATAAAACTCTGTAGCGGTTTAAAACGCGAAATATATTAGTTTAACTCATTTAGTCCTGCAAGGACCCACCCAGTTTCGCTAAATGTCAACTACGACGGAACGGATGGCGCTAGCGTAGCAGTTTTTACTTTACGCGTTTGGGCATTAGAGACAGCCTCCATCTTTATTCTTCTCGAAATTATCCCGATTATCTGAATTGTCGGGTCGTAGGCAATATAATGTTTAAATAAGTTTAACTAATATATCCCACGTTTTAAACCGTTAAAGTGTTTTATCGCGTATTGAACATTAGGGATTTTCTAGCGAAAACTAAATGATAAACAGTCTGCCTTTTAAAGACAGGAACTATTTCATTTTGTCAATATGGCAAGCGGCCCTTATATAACAAGGGTACAAATACAGAAAAACTCAGATATCTAAACATAAAATACGGGCTTACTCTTACAGCTGCTAGTAAGCGGCCTTTTATGGATACCTTACTCTGTTGTTAGGAAAACTAATTATATATAATACCGGCGACCCTTAAAAAACTATCTGCCTATGGCTGTGCCCTTATTAGGAAACACAGGCAGAGTAATCGCGTAACTGTATACACTTATGTATAAGTACATACAAGCGGGCTAAAAAATTGTATTACTGGACAGACAACACATTTCTACACTGTTCAGAATTTTATTTCTTCAATCATTCCGAAAATACAACCTTTTTGTTACCGTACTCATTGTATTGGTTTTGATGTTGGGAGAAGAGAAAAAATAAGTAGTGTTCGTAAATTCGTGTACTGGAAAATATTCACTTTAGCTTTTTCGTAGCGCCCGGTTTGTAGTTTATTTTATAAAGAAGGTACATTTTAAAATTTTCTAGTATTAATAGTTTGGAACAACTTAAAGTATTTTGTTCTTATATGAGTATATATCTACAAGTGAAAGATACAAGGAATATAATATAACCTTTAGTTAAGTGACCCCTTTTCCGTAGTAATTCGCGCGCACCTTTATAAACGTGTATTTTTGCGAAATATGAATAGCAGCTGCGTTTAATTAAAAAACGTTGTCAGGCCAGTTTCCACTACGAATTACGCAACACACTGTGTGTGTATATATGTATACATATCTGCAGAATTATGTGTACGAGTTTATTTCAAAACAGCGTCACCAAAGAGAAGACAAAATAAAACGAAAAAGTCTTCGTTAATTTCGGCTTTTTTACGTAAAATATCGGTGTTTTTGTTGTGGTAAGGTCTTACAGATAAGATCAGAATTTTAAGTCTATTAAACGAAAATTATCGTTTTGCGTTATATTGTGTTAGGCACCAGAGGTCTTGGCTTCGATTCCGTTTTAATTTCTATAATTTATCTTTTACGTAAATTAGTAAAACGGACACAATAGATATTATATTAGCCATATGTAAAAAGGAACAACTCTCTAAAATCTCTGTAACTTATTTTATTTATAGCACAAGATAGGCATACCTATCGTATAGATTAATATAAACTTTTCGGAGAACTAAATGTCTTTTAATGCAATCTTAGTAACAAGCCAAGAGAGTGGACAGACAGACGCCATAACCGCCGTGCTTACGGCAAAGGGCGGTACACTTAAGGAATGTGCACAAAAAGTTGGCATTAATATTCCCGTCGCGGTCAAATCGATCGTAGATCGCTACGCGGTGGCACTTCGTCGCAATTTGCTGCTGACTGCTGAGCAGCTACCATGATATTGTGTCCTTAATGGCTAAAGTGTTTAAATAATGAAACTGTTTTAATCAACAGTAAGAATATTCTGGCGGGATATGTAGATTCTTTTTTTTTACTTGAAGGAATCGAAGCTTTCCCAAGAACGTGTTGTGCGAACACTTTTTTGTAAAATAACTAAAATAAAATAAATACTTTATTCTCTTTAAAATTTTCAAAATTATTTAAATTCGTCAATTTTTTTTGTTTGCCTGTCTGTTCGTCGTGATTCTACAGAATATTCAAAAGAGCAACATAACTGAGAGAGAGAAGACACCCAAGTAACCCAAACACGTTTTACAAACTAATACATTAATGTGAATTTATTAACCTAAGGAGCAAGCCATTTTACTGCCAGGCGGTCTTGTCATTAAAGAAATCGTTCAGACAATAATACTTTGCCTTTGAGACAGTCAAAATTTTATATATTTTTTAAATTAAAACCTCAATTGGCAATGCTTCGTGTTCGTTAGTGTCCTGTCCGGCCTAAATATATTCAAATCGCTCAGTAAGTAACAATTATGAAAAACCGTTAAACTAAGAATTAAATAAGTTTTAGAATAAACATACATCGTTCTATTATGCATCTAATGGTGTAGCAATTTTTAACATGTTTTTCTTGTTCACATTACTACAAACTCGATAGATAATAACATATTTGATCAATATAAATAATATCAGAAACGCAACGTCGGTGTGCGAATATCCCTCCATCCATATATCCTGGGAAAGCAGTTTCGCACGTCTTGTCTCCGAGCCGGATAGCCATGACCGTTCGATTTTAAACCGGTACCTACCTTGAGACCGTTTATTTAAAATAATTTCTGCATTTATTACTTATTGGTTTCATTTACACTAGCACGCCTCCCTGTGTAATTTATCTAAGAGCTAACTAACGAGCCTATAAAGTTTGACTATTACTAGGCTATAAGTGTACGCAACCGTATAGACACGGACGATAATAATTTAGTGGTTTGTTCTTCTTGCTTATATGGTCTAATGGTAGGAATATATATCTAGTTATCAAAATCTGGACATTAAAAGGTTGAATTTTCCTCCAAGTAAATCTCATTCTGGTCTTTCTTTTTCGATCGCAAAATAAATATAATAGATATATAAATTACAATCATTTAAAACTCTCTAAGTAGTTAAGATCTTATTGTAGAGAGAGAGAAGAAATTCCTTTTTAAATTAAAGGCTACCAAAATATATTTTACAAGCTTTAATGTCACTTTTGTTGAAGTAAAACGTGTTGGAAAATTTACCACATTATACAAAATTATATATTCCTCTCTTCCTTCCCTCTTCGACTTTAGTAACATTTATATTAGGATCGTGTCATGATGATTTTGACTTATATATTTATTTTTGATTTATAAGTTATAGCTGTTACCTACCCCCGCCGTTGTCTGGTTCCCGTCGTTCATTCGAGTTAATCCTTAAAGATAGACCGATACATAAAAAGAGAGAACTAATAGTTCCCGAGATGTACGTCTTCAAACTAACTTTGTAAAAATATTTGGTCGTTCAGTCGCTCAGTTTATAGTTGTTCGTAGTCAGAATGCAAATTGATGTCGTAAGTTATCTATGATAAAATATTGCTAATTGCTACTCAAAACTTATTTGTCAACTGATTTTTAAAACCATGGTACAGCTAGAACAACCAATAAATTCGTGTTACGTGGAGGTAGAAAGTGCGTAAACGGCTTGATGTGGCTCGATTACATCACCACAATATTGGGCTGTGAGAATAGCTGCGGTGCGTATAAAAGTATTTCCGTGTTAAACGAATAGAAGAATGTAACTAGTACGTATTAATTCTCGTTTTTTATGATAGAGGAGGTCAGACAAACATAGGGGTCACCTGTTGGTAGGTGGAATACCCCAGCCATATGACATCTAAAAAATCAACTGACTAAACAGAATTTAGATATTTCTACCATGAAGTTTATCCTTCTATTTAAACATAATTATATTAAGATTATTTGAGCATATTTGTAAATCGATTATTTGTTTTTTTTAATAACTTACTATTCCCGTATGAGACAGTGGGGAGGACGCAATGTTTATTTCATGCAATGAATCTTCACGCGTATACTTGTGGGCCGATACATCTAAAGATAACTCGAGTCAGACTCGTGTGTCGGTGCGTAGGCGCATTTGGAATGCAACGACGAAGGGTTTTAAGATATGACAGCGCATAAAAAGTATTAGTATATATTAGGTATTGAGTATTCTAAAATATTTAATAATTTGTACAGTATATGTTTAGTTTTCGAGATTAGTTCCATATGAAATAACGCATCGCACATAACCAAACAGACAGCCCGTATTTATAGCTTTTACGTCGCGGATGTTTGTGTTTTGTGCTAAAATCTGTTATGATTAGTGCTAGGCGTTAGCGGATATGCGTTAAACGGATTTAGACCTGAACCACACACGACTTCGCAGCCAACACCTAAGGAAGAAAAGGGAACAATATTTAGAAAGAACCTTTGCAACGAAAACCCAAGCGTTATATATAACTAGCTGTGCCAGCGACTTCGTCCGCGTAGCGTCCGAAAATAATATTTTAATTTCTTTTGGCTACGGTACTGCGTTTCGAATGCTATGTAATAGCCGTACTCCATTGTCACAGGGGCATTAGTTGGTAACCATTTTGCGTTTGAACCGTTAAGTGTTTTATTTCATTAATGATCATTTGTTTATTAAAAGTAGTTCTTATATGTTAATTAAGTAACAGTCCTAAAATTAGTGTCTGTGTACTGTATCTTTAACTACGTAATTTTAAAAAGACAAAATATAATTCATACTTATATAGGTTTCAAATGTCAAAATACTCGGTTACCTAAATAATAATGATAAGCTAATAATACTTTTCAATCATGAAACCCCAAATGTCTGCGATTCAAAGATAGAAGCCGCAAAGTCGAACCCATTTTGATAAATTGTACAATTTAATTGATAACAGAGTAGGCTATCACATATCTATCGTCATTAGTTAATTTATAGCAACAGTGATAAGAGTACACTAACGAATTGTTTGATATATATCGCTGGTACGTTCGTTACTTATGGTTTCATTGTAAAAACAGTTTAATCAATATATAATAGGTACCTGCGGTTTTGTTTATAATTGTATTCTACAACTGGAGTAACATCGTAAAGGTGAGAAGTTGAGCGTTAGCCCGAAGGCACAAAAGAACATGACAACGTAATAAATCAATCATTTTATTAAAGTTAACCTTTTCGCAGCCCACGTTGGCTGTCTGCAGCCCACAGTTTCCTCGCCGAGTATCATTGGGATCATTGCATAACCGAGACTTCGCACGATCTGACTCACTGCAAACAATTGCCGCTTTATCTGTGTTTAGAGCGATACGTAATTGTTTTGTACCTTCCTTGTTTTGAAGCCTCGGATGGGTGTTATCTAGTTTAAACAAAGGACGTACTTATTTAATAAATCCTACTAGGCGTCCCACACGACCTGACAAACGGCAAGTTTTAACGCATTTTATGACTTCACTTCTAAACGACGTCAAATTTGGGAGAAGTATAGTTCAATTATTGTTTTGAACAAATTCAATTGAAAGGTTGAAATACTGTCTTTGACCTTATTCTTGTTCAAACCCTCGGTGTTTGATGCGGGAGTACTAATCCTACCAGTGGTGAGGGTCGATCAGAACCACTCAACACACCCCGTTCCTCTATGGTGCTTTCGAGTTAGCCCCGGGAATACTTGTTTGACCCTATGCTAGGTTTATAGTTTGCTTTGGCCAATTTTTTTGCCATTTGATTATCTCTTATATAAATAGTCAAATTGTACATTCACTATAATATAACTAGTCCACATATCATTATGTTTCATTATCTCTGTCCGTGTAGTTTACTTAATAACAGAAATTATGTGTAATATAATGTAGGGTTGCCGATCCCAGGCTGACTATACTTAATTGAGTTAACGACGCCGTAGTGATATTTTGCTATTTTTTGCACAACACATTAACGTTATGACTAAACTGATTTTGTGTAACTGTAATCCGAGACGTGAAGTCTTGTAAAGCTAAAAGTGTTTCTGACTTCTGAAATTGGTAATTGCTGTTAATTAACTAACAACTAATTCGAACCGAACACTCTGTGTTCCGTCGTAGTTCGGTTCAGCGGTACAAAGACACTTATGACCATCCCTAATATAATACGGAGTACGGACCTCGTATGGTTTTGGCAATTCTCAGTAGTGTGTCCCTTCGACAAAGCGTTCAATTAAATCCAAGTGTAGGATGCGGATCGAACTTAATAGACGTTCATTTGAGATAATTCACTTACATCCTGAACTACGTGGCGAGAATAATCTATTCTATAAATAGTTGTAATGATTCACATCTAAATACTGTCTATAGTTTACGCGAGAAGTACACATTAAAACACTTTAACGGTTTAAAACGCAATATATTAGTTAAACTTATTTGAAAATGATTTTTAACTTCGGCCCGACGTTTCGGATGCTTTGCAGCAGCCGTGGTTTAAAGTGTTTTATTTAAATGATTTACATCTATTTAAGATATTGAAAATTCTAAAGTAATTTATTAGTTGCTACCTTAGTATTTAGGTGACTAGGAGTTAAGAACTAGTAATAAGTATGTGCATTGTAGTTACCATTATAAAACTCAATTGATGGAAGCTATCAAAACCACGAGTGGAGAAATTATTGCCTTACTAAAACGGTTTGAATTGAAATAAATAGATCCGTCACTTAAATACCTAGTACGTGCCTACCCACTCGAAATGGACAATATTCGTAAATCTTCTAATGAAATAAAATAGTTGATAAAAATACTTATTTAATATATGACTTAATCGCAGTAGGTAGGTATCCTCGTCGTGCGTGGCTGTTCGATTTGCTTAGCAGTAGTTTAAACGCTTCCTTTGTAGACAACGTCGATCCATTGTTATAATCGGCGGCAAGAAGGCCGCTTTCGAACCAGCACGGCGGATAGGCACCTCGCGACAAAACAATGCAAGAAGTGTTTGTAAATCGCAAACAAATACCTTCCCACGCTTGACCGGACGAGAAACAGGTCCGAGGTGCATACCAAAAGGAAATCGGCCAGCATCCGCCGAACCGACGATTAAAAATAACGAGAGCCGACGTACCTGAGCCAAACTGAATCCGTACACAGAAACACTAAAGCACACACATAACTCAAAACCTACTCGCGAAAGTAATTTATGTGCATTCGATTCGAGATTAATGGAGCACGCGGAACGAAGATCGCGCGGAGGAGCACGCGACCTCCCGCCTTCACTTTCGGAGCTGAACTGGCGTCCGGACTCCGGACCAGGCGGACCTTCTCGGCGCTCGTGAATGCGAGATCTGGATACTACGATACGGCCATTCAGGTATGGCAACAACCTCCAGAAATCGTCTCACGATCGAAAAGAAACTTTAAACCCGACAAACGACGACATAATTTCCAAAGCGAGCCGCGCCGGTGATAAGACCGCGTCGATATCAGGCTATCAGCTACCGTCTAGGATCCTGTAGAGCGAGACGACAGACGCGCGACGCCGCGGCGCGAGCGAGACGAATAGACGTGTACTTCGTACGTTAATATGATTGAAATGTGAAATTTTTATATTCTCCTCACAAAACACAGCATCAGGACAAAAGCTCGCGTTATGAGAGGTGGTCGTGAAGAATTCAAAGGGTGCTGAACTCTGAATTCGTGATGTTTTTGGAAAAATGCTAATGACACGGTTTCACCGAGATTTTTACAATTCTTAATGCCATGCATTTGATTTAATTCAAATATATAATTTAGGACCTGTTAAAATATGAACGAAAGAAAATGTATTGTTTTTACGTATGTATTTTCTAGGAATTAGATAAAATTAAAAAAAAAGTAGAAATTGTATCAATAACAGTTCAGTTATTTTGGGGATACGTGCTAAGTTTAAAGGATTTATTGTATTAGTTTTATATAAATTTAAATAACTAACGCAGTGATTATAATCACACAGACAAAAATGTGATCAAGCTTTAGGTATTATACGATTACGTTATTAAAGTTGGAGTCGGATGCGAATTCCATTCTCTCACTAAACATAGGTTATAAATACTGTAGCCAGTGTATTGTGAGGGTGTAGACTGTAGATCAAAGATGCTCGTCACACAGTCACCACTAAGCCGCAGAAAGCCGCGGCACAAGAGGTTCGGGAGATGAATAGGCAGGTACCTGTTCTCGCACTCGAATAGACATTCATTCCGAACGCATCATTGTGGAGCACAAAGACGAAATTAATTGCTCTGTTTGTACCGAGTGTCGAAATAGGTTCTTTTTTAAGAAATGTGTCTTTCTACACAATGGATTTAGGCTTTCTTCATTAATTTTTGTATTTGTATTCCGATATACAAGTCTTTCATTTCAAAGCAGGTTACCTACATTAAAAAGAAATCAAATTACTGAAACTAAGCCGAACATGAAAATTCTGTGAAAAAAATTTAGCTTTTGAAAAAGGGCATTCGGTTTCATAATATAAATTTTAGAACTTTTAATTTTTTAATTATACAAGTGTATAAAATAGGTCGACATTTCATCTGGTTACATCTCATCATGTTACACGGCACGGTATCACCTTCCATTAAAATAATCCCTCGTTTGACTATCTTGGTCTGTTATAAAAAAGTGTTATGACATGTAAATAATATTTCTTCATGTCTTCCTGTCTACTTACGGTTAATTGACTACCAGATAATGCTACTACTAATAAATATCTCCTAAATCCCAGATAGTATGTGATGAAGCAACGCAATACTCAACTCAGACTCAATACGTGTAAAACGAAGCTCCTAGACTTGCACTAGTTCATATCAAAGGAGAGTCCATGTTGAAATCGAACTTCTGTCTTTATGCATTTACTTTGTACACAGATATCAAGTAACAGGGAGCTCGAGTTTGCTAACGCTGTAATTACAGACCGAAGGAAATCTTACGTATCAGATACGAAGCATATGGGAGATATTGCATTTGGCTAGATCAGATTCAGATTTAGATAAGATTCCACGAAACTAGAAAATTATGTACCCGAAATAAATTTAACCCGAGGAAACCGATCTTGATAGTTTGAATTTGGGCAAAGTCAATAATTTTATCCTAATTATATCTAGTATCCAAAGTTTTATGCAAAATAGTCAAAAACGCTTTCGATTAAAATAAAAGTTTCTCTGTATTTAAATAAAACACTTAAACGCTTTAAAACGCGAAATATATTACTTAAACTAGTTAACAAATTATTTGAAATTTCAAAAGCGTGTCAGTTTTTACTTATAGACATTAGGGTACGGAATAGCCTCCAACTTTACTCTCCGTGATCACGGCTGCTGCAAAGAATCCAAAACGACGGGCCGTAGTTAAAAAATAATTTGTAAACAAGTTGAACTATTACGTTTTGACCCGTTAAAGTGTTTTATTTAAATGTGTACTACTCGCGTAAACTACAGACAGTATTTAGTATCTCTGTAATTAAATAAAGGTCGGCACACATTCTACTGTTATGACTGTAGGTCGGTTATACTCACTGTCGGTTCGACTAATTGAGCTATTCTCAGCTAAAACAAAATGATTAAACGCTAGTCTTTCATCTCGCACAATTTCTGTTGATTGACGCAATTATATTTGTTGGAAATGACACAACCAAGAATTCCTTTCATGATCTTCATTCCGCGGGGAAAGACTATATCCAATATTCCAATTTTAGTAAGTTTGTTACGGTATCGAAAGCTTTAGAGACCACTTGTTAAACTTACCACTCATCGTTCCTAATCTCCATCTACTTATACCTGTACAAAGGAGATTGGAACTAGATGGGGTATACCCCATCTAGTTCCAATTGCACTTTTCCAGTCGGATTCGATTCGTCCGCACGGTTGGAATAAAAGATTTGTTCGGTTGACGTGTTCAATTATTCCGTCGCTGATGCCATAAGTTTGCCATTATTCCAATTACAGTTTTCTTATGAATTTTTAATGATAGAGGACAGACTATACAAGATGCGCTGTCTGCCTATTTTTGGATCTTCGGAAATCTACAGACTAACAGACAGTTATGGAGGCAATATGTATTGGAAAGATCACAAACAAAAGTAATACCGATGAAATGATCAGTAACCCCTTAAATTTCACGCGTAAAATAATATGAGTTCGCAGTTTTCCGATCGGCCGACCTTTGTGCCGAACGACGGGTTTAATTAAACAACAGCGCGGGCTGCAAAATGCAAATATCCGCTTTATGTTTTATATTTGAAGTGTAATGTTATTGATAGCGATGATCCATCGTCGATATATTACTTTTATTGAGAACTAGCTCTGGCCGCCTGGAAAAGTTACTTTAGACATCAAATGTATTTTTGCTAACAACCGCGTTCCGTCGTTATATATTGTCATTTTTCAAATTACTTAATGATCAATACTTATTTCATATATAATATGTTTTGGATATCTTGAACCGTTGTCGCAGCACACGCAACGGAAACCATCAAGTATGAATAATTTTCCCCGTCTTCTTCACATTTCCACTGCTTCTTCGCTCCTGTTGGTAACAGCGGGATGTTAACGCCTAAAGCCTTCCTCGATAAATGTTCTAACCAACACAAAAATATGTTTTTAATTTGAACCAGTAGTTCCTGAGATTAGCGCGGTCAAACAAACAAACTCTTTAGCTTTATAATATTAGTACCTATAGATTACGTAATTTATGTCTGTTTTGAGATTTGTTATTTCTTGGGTAATATCTAACGCGTTGTAATTTGCTGTAGGTAATTTTGTTGGCATATTACTACTTTTAAAGTACTCGAGAGTCTTTGAGCTCAGTTATTTACTTGGTAACATTGCATCCCTTTTAATATCGGTGTATACTTAGGGCTTCACAACTCTTCATAAACTTTGATGAAAGTTCAGGCATCGTTAGAATCACTTGACGTTAAGGGTCCAACGCCTTGACGACAGAATGGTTTAATTTCAACTTCTATATCTTGTAATATTATTATCGCTCAAAACTTGGCACTGAGAATCAAACGATAGACAAAAACAGCATACCGTTAGTCAATTCTGTAACTTCGACAGAACAGGTGAAATAGCACTTATTACTTTGACCTCAGACCTCCATGACCACGGCTGCACGGCAAAGCATCCGAAACATTGGGCCGTAATTAATTTTGTTTTCAATAACTAATACATATCGCGTTTTAAACCGTTAGAGTGTTTAATTTATATTAGTGAAAATTCACATGAGATTTACATATTATCCTTGATGTAATGATAAGTTTGGGATATTTGTCGCTCGTGGCTACTAGGCCTTATTTAACGAATAGTTTTAATACGTAACAAGCCCTCTTACTTCGCGCTTGACGGCTTCTACTTATTCATTTCGACATACTTTTTAATAAAGTTCTAGGGTTTTTCAAAAGAAGCTTGTGTTTTAGTAAGTTTTTATTTCTGGTTATTGTAATTTCTCAGTAATAATTTTATTTTCTTGCTTACTTGAAAGAGTGACGATGAAGTGTTGTGAGTAGTTTACGCGATTCGTGCATATTTTAATAAAATTCTTTGACGGTTTGAAACGGTTTGAAGAACAAAATGTGTTAGTTAACTTATGTATTGTTTATGTTCTCTATGCCTTGAAATGGATCGGATTCGGATTTCCGGACTTCCCTCGTTACCACGGCTGCGGCAAAGCAGAGTTATAAATAAATTAACTAATATCCTTTGCGTTTCAAACTGTTAAATTATTGTATTTAGATTGACAATTGTCTGTGTTCCAAGCTTGCGCTTCCTCCGCGAGCGCCTCTTTTCGGCCACCGACTTCTTTCCTTCCACCAATTATTGTATTGCCACCGCTTCACAGCATCCATCACCTTGTTGTTAACGAAACCGCTAAGCAGCATTTTCTTCAAGATCGGCTGCAGCTGCCTGAAATGCGTATCAGCCCCATGTCCTACCCCCGGTACTATACGCTTCGATTTCGCCGAATTAAAGGGTATATCCACATCGTCGACGTAATAACTATCCCTAACTTTGACCCAATCTTTCTTATACTTACTCCTGAATGTATTTATTAACTTGTCAGTATAATATTCGCCGTCTTTGTCGTATCGGCGGGACAGAATCGGCTTCTTATCCGGGATGAACATTATAATAGGCCGGTATGTATGCCCGGGCACTTGAGTTACGATATCGATCGGTACGGCACAGTGAACTTCAATTTTATAATCTGTAAATTGTAAGGCGATAGTAAATGAATAACTGGAATTTCTCAGCGACTCTGGTAGCCCCGCACACTCGAATTCAGTACTGTCTTGCACGTTTCGTTTACACGGAAAATAAAGTTCTAGCCTTGCATATATATACCTATAATTTAAACACTAAGTCTTTTGAAGCAAACATTTTGTGAATATCTCAAACTGAATTTTAAAAGGGTTTCTGTTTATACGAAATATCAGTTTAAAATCACTTACGTAGAAACAAGAATTTCCAACACAAAATGTAAATAAAAAGAGCTCTCTCCGTTTCTCGAAACATTCGCGAGCGCTGAAATATGAAGTGCTAGTGAAATCGAAAGCCTTATCGCTTGCTCATTTCCTTAGGATTGTCGGAAATATTTTTGTAACAAACAGTTAGTATAAATACTATTATATCGTAAGTTCTCTTAGTAATCTTAATACACGCCATGCCTTAGGTGGTTTTAAAATGTTTTCTCTTGAGTTACACCTCTCTTCGCATATTTACCAAATACCTCGGCTTATAGAACGAAAATAGCTGCGAATATCGGCATTTTACTTGTGCATTCTAGTATAAAAATGTGTATAAACTAAATACTCCAAATCAACTCGCTATTTTCATCTTGCCTAAAACACATAGACAATGCTCACACGCACAAATTATTTTCTAATTCGAACCAGTAGTTCGAACATTAGCGCGTTCAAACAAACAAACCCTTCAGCTATACTATTATTAGTATAGATGTAATTTCGAATCTTGTAATAAAATATCAAAACAGGAATTGAAATTTATTTTATATTATACAGTTTGCGCTTACCAAGTAAACATGTTTTTATCGTTAGTAAATACAATCTTTAAACATAAAATTATTTACGTTTTGACATCATAATTTCAATAAAAAAAATCAAACACGCCAAAACACACCCAAAAATCCAAATGTAAAATGCGCCGGCAGACTGCCTCAAAGTGATCTTGCATCCCGCCAGACAACTGTAGCTGTTCGACATAACATTCTTAGCGGCAAACCTGGCTTTGTCTGTGAGCAGAAGACCGATTGCCTCGTCGTACAACCTCTTACAAATGCCAGCTTCGAACAAATGAAGAAGCACCTGTCGTAAGGAAGGGCCGAAGTAGATACCCTTTCGTAGAATCATTTCATGATATATGAATAGGATATCTCCGTGCATTTGTATCACTCTTGCCTCGTCATTAACGGCCGTAGCAACTTGATAGATGGGCATATATCCATCTATGAGAATAGTCGTTCCTTTCTTTTCTAAAATGACTTCTTGGCAGTGTCTAAAATTGTCACAATCTCCGGAAGTATTTGCAATCCTTTCGTACTTGCGATCTTTAATGAAATATTTCGAAGCAGGCTTAAGATACGGTTTCACCCCTGCTCCCATGAGGTCATCGATACTTTTATACATTTGTGGTGGGGACTGTATAGTCAAATACGAGTACAATTGAACGCTTATATATGCTGACAAGTGAAGGGAAAGTATGAGATACATTCCGTTTACAAGTTTCTGCTTAATAGTTCTTGCGTCGTCTAACGATGAAGCTCCAATAAGAGCTCCCCAACTGAGCAGGAGCGTTTGTTTAAATGAAAAAACTTGCCTGTCCATTCTACAGATGACCTTCCAGATGAATATATGAACCGCGTAGAAAATTAGGAAGATGTAAAGTCCGTTAACTTTTGCCATGAACGATTGCCAAGACCTCGGTTCTCGTCCTACGCTATACGCCCATACTACCGCCTGCCTGGTATACACACCGGAGTATTCTACGACATCTCCGAAAATTCTGTACAATCCTCCAGCACATATATCTAAGCTTCCATTCAGCAATAGTTTAACAAATTCGGTGTCTGTGTATGGATTTTCTGGTTCTTTATAAATATAAAAGAACTTAACAGTAGCGTTAAAATATTCCGATATCAATTTCAACAATTTTACGTCAGAACCCTTAATGTCCGACTCCATAATGCTGTTAAGATTTTCGTATTTGCCAGTTTCACTCTTAAAGTTCATGTACGGATACAATTCTCCAATACCGGCATTTAAAGGACAACGTTTTAAATCTTTTATTATTTTCTTTGGAAATATGTTATCATCGCTCGTCAAAGATCCGCCCACGCACGAGTTAATAATTTCAAAATTTACTTCTTCAGAGACTCTGCAGATTGTTTCATTGATTTGAAAAACTGCGCTCATAAAAATAAAATGTTCATTATCTATTGGATAAAGTATTGTTACATCTTCGTTGATCAAGTCCTCGTTGAGACGAAGTTTACGCTTGCAGTTATCAATATCGTTAAGAAAAACAATTAAAAATTTTACGTGATCATCTTTAAAATTAATATTACTTATTTCTTCACATTCATCAATAATAAAGATATGTGTGTGTGAATAGTCTCCGATCGAAGCGATGGCGATATCATTATTACCGACTACTGGAATGCCGCTGGAATGTGTTTTCTCTATGATGGTATCAATTAAACTTGACTTTCTGGTGTCACGATCCTCTGTCGCTAGTTTAATAACGATCGTAGGTTTGTACATTAAACTATTTTTTGCGGCCAAGACGAGACATTGCGCAAGTGATTCATAGGAAATATTGTTTGGCTCTTCGAGAGCTAAAGTTTGCGACACAAACAGTGTTATAAATGTCATAACGCTTATCGACATTGTTCTCATAACTATGACTTAAGCAGACGCGTATAGCAAAACTGCTCTTATTATTATAAAAAAGGTGTATTTATATGCAGGCGCAAAACAAATGTAGATATTCATAGACCAAATTGTGCATATACTTCTTTCGGTCTACAATTTGATTCTGTATCTTGCAATCAGGACAATCTTTGTCTTGCTGATATTTTCTACGTTTTCCTATCAGTTATTAATATTATTAAGGGTTTAACTATTTCCTCTCCCGAGAGCCCCGTTTCCTCCTGTTTTCGATCGCTTACTAAGGTGTATTTTTTTACAATGGCGTTCATTTATTTAAACAGCAACTAATAAAGGTAACAATTACACGTAGTTCATTCCGGCGACTGTGTGGTAAATTACGCCGTTAGATTACAGCTTTGCAGATAATATTAATAACACATATTTTCATTGCGGCAAATGGAAGTCTTTTAACCGACAACGAAAAGCTTTTAGAGGCATAAACGATCGAATTCTTCCAAAATTACAAAGTAGGTAACGGATCATTGAAACTATTGTTCTTTTATTCTACTTTCTACTAAATACGTAGATACAAAACGCAAAACTTATGTGGCTTGATCGAAAACTATTTATTTAAATGGCTATTTGAATATTTTAGTAAATTTATTTTCTTACGAGCTGACGGTTTAGATATACTTATTCTAGCCACTGAGATCGAGTCGCGGCTTCGTAAGTTCTACAGAAAATAATGAAATTAATGTTAAACATCGAAGTGATCGCACTCAACTTGCGAACAACTTTGGAAAGTCACTAGTTTTACTTATTTAACTTCTTGCTACATGAAAAATCGTTCCTTTAAATATATTTATTCAGAAGGTAAAACAACAAATAAGAAATATAATAAAATTAAAAACAACCTAAAACAAGTTGTTTTTATTTACAGTAACAAGTATCACACACATATCATACTTTTTTCTTAAATAAAGGGTTAATACTGAAGGAACAACAAATTAAACATTTGTGAAAAGTAACGAAGTACAAAATTAAGAACGACAATTCAATAAATAGCTACATTAAAATACGTTGCATATCTTAATCTCCTCACTATGTATTCACGAATTAAATGTACAGTGAGCAAATACTGTCTATAGTTTACGCGAGTAGTACACATTTAAATAAAACACTTTAACGGTTTAAAACGCGATATATTAGTTAAACTTATTTGAAAATGATTTTTAACTTCGGCCCGACGTTTCGGATGCTTTGCAGCAGCCGTGGTCACGGGGAGAAACGTCGGGCCGAAGTTAAAAATCATTTTCAAATAAGTTTAACTAATATATCGCGTTTTAAACCGTTAAAGTGTTTTATTTAAATGTGTACAGTGAGCAGTTGTTAAAACGTAAAGCAAAATTGCACCCTGTTTTATAGAACGGATTGTAACCTGAATTACAATTAATAGTACTATAAGTCATGGCCTATCAGAATCCAGCTATGGGCAGGCCTAGTCTTCCTTTCCAGCCCAAATGCTGTCTCCGTTCACTTCTGTAGTTCCTCGTACGTACTCCTGCACCGCCCGCAGCTTGTACAAGTAAACAGATAGTATCGACCCGGCGCAGGCTCCGGCCCAGTAGACGGTTGCGAACTCAGACAGGGTGTGTCCGTGACAACCGGCCTTCAGCGACGTCGCCAGCACTGGGTTGAAGTAACCTCCCGAGTAGTCGAAGGCTGGACAAAAGACGATGATCGTGAGAAATTAATTGAGTATACTTTCATCCTGTATGGATGTATATATTTTATTCGCCTTCTTTAAAAGACGATCCTGTTCAATATATAATGTTGTAGGCACTGTGACTATTACGCGAAGTGACATTGTCGAATCGTATTTTATCGTAAAAACTACTAAACAACTAACCAACCTTATAACCCTATTTTTGGTCTTCGACTTAATTTACTTTAACGTTTGAAAACTTTAATGATTTTCATATGTTATTGCATATCTATTGTTAGCGTTCCATGCTGTGTCCTACACGTCATCGTGGATTTTTTCAACTTATTGATACTTGTACATGCTACTCTCGCGCAATGTCACTACACCCATTACATTTAAACTGTTTCTTTTTTAATTTGAAGACGACGATGTGGGATTTTGTAGCTCAATTGGTTAGTGAGAGCACCACCACGGAACGATGAAGATGTCGGTTCAAGTTCTGCCTCAGTGGTGAACTTTTTCAGTATATAATCGATTTTTAATTTACCTTGACGTATTGGGTTTTATTAAGATGCTGTTTGCTACGAAATTACACAGACAGCACAGAAAAAGACGGAGTAGATGAGGCAGAACTATTAAAATGAAAGCGTGCATTACGCCGATCGTCGACGCATTGAGACTATCGTCCTGCGAGTGACGAAGCGGCGAGCCTGACTCTTTTCCCAACTAATGGACGCGGATTACGCTTTTATGCACTTTTCAACTTTAATAGCTCGACTTTTAGCGAAAATATATCATAGAATAGTTACGATCTAGTTTTAGAGTATTCTATAGGCTTACGATATTCGGATTTTCGTGGGTACTGGCCATGCATTATAGTTTAATACAAATATAAGATAAGCGAGCGAAGAAAGAGCGCATGGGTCCACCTACCTACGCTACGGATTACGATCGTTAGTGCTATGTTAGGTTAGTGTCACTCCAGTGGCTAATGTTGCACATACATATTTTTAAACGACACTATTAGACAATTTAAACAACGATTAGTACATTAAAGTACCTCTGCCTAAATGGACTTTGCATGTAATGGCTAAGCTGAAGTCGGCGTTAGAGCCTTCCCGATAGCTGTAGCTGTAAACTGTGTCACTATACAGAGCCCCTGGAACACACAACGGAGCTGTGCCATTGACGAAGCGGTAAGCGGGTGCAAAATCGAGTTGAATTAAACATTCACACGTTATTTCATATTTCTCGTAATTGTTAGTTTATAAAAATAAAGGAATCTATGTACAGTCCAATGCAAAAGGATCGCTAAGCGAAGTCTCAAGAATCAAGAATGCGATTCTAATAATGCGTCTATTTGTACCGGCAACAACTAGTGATGTCCCCACGAAAGCATCGATGCCGGTCGCAAACCGTGGATTGATGTCCCCCAGAGCTCTGGAAGCCAACCTGCATAAGCACGTGGCTATACCTTCTACCAGAGCGCCGTATAATACCGGTACCTAGAAAATGAACAAGCCTAATATAAGGATCGTGTCTTATAGTGAAGGCCTCGCCGGCTCTAATAAACATATAGGTTAGTTAGCAGCTACCACAATATCATCATATCAATAAGATATTGTTTCGAAATTCAACCGGCCATTAGCACACACCTAGAAAAAAATAAAATTCATCTGCACTCATTCAATTAAAAATAAAAGTAACTTAGTGCAATCACTAAAAATATTTACTAAAATGAAATAAGTCATAGTTATATACCATGTGTGCTCAGTGTGGATAGATTAACAAACGTCCATCCATCTACAGTCAAACCATTCGATTTAAATATTTATAATATTAGTAGAAAGGAGAAGGAGAAAGGAGGAGCGAGCTGTAGGTGAATTCGTAAAATGGCACTTTCTAGAACAATATTGTTTCCCAACGGACTCTAGTGCTGTCGTCTATAGAAACGCAGCCTTGTCTGGAAAGGATGGAGTTCTGTCGCACCAATTATTAAGATCAAAAGTCGCTGATACCTTTTAACCTGGATTTCGGTGCATATTTAACTAATAGTACACTCCGCATCGCGTTAAAGTTAAAACTCGATATTATTAATTGGGAAAACCTTGAAAGGAGCTCTCGACTCATAATGGAATTGTCCCTCGAAATAATTTAATTACAATTAATAAGAGCCAGCGAAAATGACTAAAGTGGTTCTTAACGAAGACGTCCTCTCCGAACTTAAATATTTGATTATGCATTTATCGCGTTTTCTCAATACGTAAGTTCTCGTATTCTTGTACCCCTATATCCTTACTAATATTATAAATGCGAAAGTAACTCTGTGGGAGTGGGAGTGGGAGTGGGAGTGGGGGTGGGAGTACGAGTGGGATTGGTAGTTAGAGTAGGAGTGATGTGAGGTGAGAGTGTTGCGGCAAAGATGCACTTACAACATAGATTGGCTTTGATAAATGCTCAATTACATAAATTAATAAACAGCCTAAATAATTAAAAATTCTATCTCACGTCAGTATTAGTAGACTTAGTTTGGAAGTAGTTTTTTATAAAGATAAATTATATGTTTGGTTGGCAATTTATAATCTCAATAGATAATAAATAACGTTAATGCGGGAACTTTCATATTTGAAAAAAAAAAAACTTTCTATTTTGCGTTTAAAATTACACTATATCTGTAAAACAAGATCGGGTCTTCGATTGATCCCGGCTCTCTTATACATTGACATCTACTAGAATTGAAAAGCTCTGGCACGCCACGGACAACAATTTGTTAAAACGTAAATCAGAGCTAGCGAATTTAAATATGAAACCTTTTAACATCACTCTCAAATTCTTTTCTTGCATGTGTATATTAGGCGATGTAAGCCTGTCAAATATACAGAAAGATTAAAGATATTATGCACCTGTAAGTCTGCGGAACAGTCCTCTACAGCCTTGTCTTTGTGCGTGTCTGCGATTTCGAGCGCCCAGTACATCTGCACGTACTTGAATACGAGCATTCCTCCTCCCAGCTCCGCCCACGTCTTCATCAGGGCCTTTCGTACGTCACCCCTCCCTGGAACATTTGCAAACAGTGTTAAACGTTTCCATCGCAGCGTCATTCGGACTATGGGTCAAAAGGCAGATGCGATATACGTGTTGTACCTTCTATGACATCTTCGATGTGGGTGTAAGGACAAGCCGTCGCCTCCCCCCAATTGAGCGACCACCAGATGGTCAGCGCGAACAAGTACACCGCGTAGGTCGCTACGCCGAAATTATCCGCAACTAGAAACGATTTAAGTGATTTTTAGAGTATCGAGTTGGTATTTTTATATGAAGTCGTAGCTGTCAGCTGAATTTTTCAGTTTAAATATAATTTGCATAACACAACCGAGTGATAGGTAAAGTGCATTAACTCATCAGGGATCGATAGAGCTATTGAAATGAAACCAACCTAAACAAAATTATTATTTCACATAATGAAGCGCGCAATGAATACTCCAAAATGTAATATTCGAGAAGTGCACGCTAGAACTATTTCATAGAGGGATTATTGGGGCGCGTTATTGTGAATAATAGCGCCCCAAATAAGGATGGGCTAATTTCTATCTAATCTGAATATTACACATTGCTGTATATGTGTATAGTACGCGCAATGTTACATTCATTCTCATTGCTAGTAATCAATGTTATAAATGTTCAGTAAAGCACACGATGCCGTCCACTAGATGGCGAAATATCAGGAACTATTTTTTCATTACGATGACCGAACAGCTCAAAATAGCAACTCTCTTTACAACTCTTTTGGGAGTCGACAGTCTGCACTAGAGTTAGCAGCTTCAAAGGATTAAAATAAAGAGAAGTGGATTCATCTGGAATACGCTCTTAATTGAACATAAGAATCATTAAGTGAAGTGTTGGGCTTTAATGTATGACGACAACTTAGTAAACTGGATCCCTTCAAAGTATAAAAATCTTTAAAAGTGTCACTCACCAACTATAAGTTCAAAGCAACAGCCGCATAGCTCGGCAGCAGCTATCGCCTCTTCACAGAGAAGTCTCACGAAGGGATCCCGAACCAAGCTTTGCACCAGGCGTCGCGCGCAGTGCGCTAATATCGAGGTCAGGAGGATGAACAATGTTGATACCACGAGAGGCGCGAACTGCTCCTTGTTTATCTGTTAAAGGCACACAGATACGGTTAGGCCAACCACGCAATCAATTGGACTCAACCCTTTCAGTAGCTTTCATGCCCTACTCAATCAAAAATACAAACACAGGAAGAATTCACTTGACTACACCACTACTTTTGACAAGACGTTAAATCTGTTCTCTTGACTTACTTAATATTAATAACCTAAAATGTCTTGTAAGTAGGTACATATATTACAAAGTTGTTCCTCACATCAAATTTTATTTTGACATTAATATAACACGACCGAAATTCAGTACTTAATGTTAACAAAACACGACTACGTTTTAAATTTGGCTTAAATCTGAATTCTCTTTTAGTGATTAATTGTAAATTCGTGTTTTGTTTGTTAGGCTTCTTAGGCTAGTGATACATTCAACTCGAGTTTAAAATGTAATGTAAAATAAATGTGTCTCATCCTCTATATTTTAGTATTACCATGATCACCGAGAATTGCTATCATTAGACACTAAAGTATACGTGACCAAACACTATATTTTTTTTACTCTAACTCAGTGCGTGCACACCTTTAACAAATCTAATTACTTGGCGACGACTTGAATAAAACATAATTCAACACAATGTGGACTAGTAATTTAATTTATAATTAACATCAAACAAAAATATTTTCAATTTAAGAAAACGCTTGGAAAATATTTGCTTTTCGGCTTAGAAGTAGAAGGTTAAGCTAAGCTTTTTGAGGCTTCCGACTTTCTGATATGAAGTGTCTTGGAAGTTGAGTGATGGGATTTGCGTGGTAGCACGTAGACAGTTATGAATCTTTATTTAACGATGAACATTTTTAAATATGAGTGAAGATTAGTATTATTCATTTGACTACCGAAGCTGTCATTTCTTTCATTGACTTTAAGATGGACTTAAGCAATGTCAGAGCCGAAAGTCAAGGAGCCGGCAGCGAGCGCTGAAAGCTACTTCGTTACAAATTATTCAAGACTCCTTAAAGCGCTTCGTTACTGCTCTCTGAAATGTTGGCATTGTCCCGAGAGCACTCTCAGACCCGACTCGAACTTTCCATTTCAGTAACGCCTTTTCTAAATACGAGACAATTCGCTGCGTTACCTCTTCGACGAGGAGGCGCCATTGTATCGTGCCGAGTTTTGATGTATTTAGAATGACGTGAAAGGATTATTCTGATTCCATTGATGTTCTCAACAAAGGCGTGGATATTGCATCCTGGAACGTGGAGAGTGATTGTAAGATTTCTTCGAGCGTGTCTCGTATGTTTGTCGTTCACATCAAAGCTGTACTTCATTTATTTTCCTTTAACTTGCGAGGTGCGCTACTGCTTTGTTAATTTAATTAAAGCACGTTTCTTTCGGGGAAGTTAATTTTGCATCTTACGCGGGTAGTCGCAACGTCAACACTGTGTCCTAATAATAAATTAACTTTTAAATATAAACACTTCCATAAGTACTGATTAAAGTGTGTAAAAAGCATTATCATACGAAGATCTACACCATATATTGGTACATTTTCCATCGAAGGCGGAATAAAGCGACAGGAAGAATCTAAGTTTGTGTCGTGTCCCGGGTCGGCCGTTAAGTATACCTTCAAGACAAAACCGAGAGTGTGACTATTGCAACTATAATTGGTACCACAGGATTGTCATCCCAGGCCCAAGAGTGATCTAAAAGTGCTGTGAACAAAGTGAATAACGCAATAACAAATAATTATTGTGACATTGCTTAAAGACTAATTTGCAACATCTATACGATATATTCGATACAACTATCAAAAGCTTGTGCGGCTAAACGGTCAGGTCCACGTTAACTGCGCTAGAGAATCCAGTTCGATCCTGAGTCAACACCGAAATTATTAAACTTTTTATTTTCTTTGTTGTTTTACAAACACAGTGGAAGTTAGTAACGTCAAGCATTAAATCCAATCGACGCAATGAATAAATGTGCCGTTTGTGCGTCACCGCTTACCGATGACTCGTACTATATGCAGTGTTCAAAACAAAGTTGTAGAAAGAAATTTGACTTAAAATGCCTGCGAATTGAACATGAACTGTTTAATGCATTTACCGGCGAATATAAGATGCAGTGGATGTGCTCAGAATGTGTGAATAGCCCCAATACTTCTATATCTTTTGCGTCACCTGATTATATCAATATGCAAAGAGGAGCGCGATTACGTGGGTCGTCACCAATTCAGACTGAAGATTTAGTTATAGAACAACTGAAAGAGCTGCGCAGCGATATGGTTTCTCGTCTACAAAGCCAGGAAGCAGCAATTAAATGCCTTCAAACGCAATTTCAGGAAACTAAGTCTAGCCTAGATTGTATATTAAAAACATTACGAAATTTGGAGGAATCGTTATTAAATAACAAGTACTCTGAAACAAGAAGCTCCCAAGGCGTTCTTGAGCCAACGCCGTCTAAAAACTCAAAGGTCATGGTTAATAAAAGCGCATCCCAGCCGCCTAAGTCTTCGTCCGACAAAAACAGCGTTGGAAAGATTGTACCGAAGGCAGGATGTGAACGGAGTGTGACGACTAAGCAGACGACTAAGCAGGCGACTAAGCAGCCGACTAAGCAGCCGACTAAGCAGCCGATTAAGCAGTCGTCTAGGCTAAAGCAATATCACGCCGTGCATGTAGGGAAAAACGTCGAGTGTGCAACTTTAAAGGGCTTGGAGAGGAAAAAGTATTTACACGTCTGGCGCCTACATCCCGAAACTACTCTCGAAACAATGAACAATTATGTCGAAAATATATGCGGCTCGAGTTGTTCGATAAAGGTAGAAAAAATCAAACATAAATCACAAAGGGATTATGCTTCGTTTATTGTTGGCGTTCCTGAAAATTTGTATGCTAAACTAAACCAACCGGAAACGTGGCCTGTCAATGCGGAGTTCAGCGAGTGGGTTTGGTTTCGCAAGTCCCGAAAAGCACAAAATAGTTAGAAATATAAAGCTTTACTATCAAAACGTTAGGGGCCTGAGAACAAAATTAACCGAGTTCCGTACAAACATACATGTATTGCAGTCCGACATATATGCCATCACTGAAACGGGTTGCAATGAGTCCATCCATGATTCGGAAATCGTACCACCCGGATATCATATTCTGAGATGCGACAGGGCAGATGGACGTAAGCAAGGCGGCGTAATGCTTGTGGCGGCACCGCGCTTTGAACTGCGCCCAGTGCGGAACTCTGGATCATTAGGTATCTCTATAGACAAATGTAATTTTGAAGTGGCTTGTGCTACTATATATTTAAATAACAATTTTTTGTTTTTTTGTAGCGTAATTTACATTCCACCGAATAGCAGTGAGAATGAATATATGCTTTTATTCCGTATACTAGAGCATTTATGTAGTAGGTATAAAAAAAATATTGTTATCGGCGATTTTAATATGTTTTCTAGCCCTTCTAGTGTTGTAAGTTATTTCGAATTTTTCAGATGTTTTTGTCAATTCACCCAATATAATAACGTGCCTAATAGCCTAGGTCGTCAGTTAGATATGGTGCTGGGTGCGGGGTTCGATGTCGGGGCGGAGTCGGCTGTACATGTGTCGGCGGCAGACGAGACGCTAGTGCCGGTGGATGCGTACCACCCCCCGCTCGAGGTGCGCGTGCGCTTCGCTTTCGTCGCGTCGAGCGGAAGCCATCTTGTTCATCAGTTGCACACCACTGAACCTAAGGCGTGCGTTGGTAATACTCGGGCGGCGTGGAATTTCTACAAAGCGGACTATACGCGGTTATACGAAAGGTTGGGTTCGGTGGATTGGGGCGAAATTTGCAATATGGAAAATACGGACGATATGTTAGGCTATTTTTATAGTGTTTTATATAATTTATTAGACGAATGCGTGCCTAAAAAACGGGTCAAACAAAATTTATCCTATCAACAGTATCCGCAATGGTTCACAAAGGAAATAATTGATAAAATTAGGTTAAAAGCTAGTCTTCATAAAAAATATAAAACCACTAAATTATCGAGTGACTATATTGAATTTTCCTCATGTCGGAAAATAGTAAAAAATTACATTAGGACTGCATATGAGGGTCATATTAATAAAATTCAAAGTCAATTTTTCAAGAATCCTACTATTTTTTGGAAATATATAAAAGAAAGACGGGGTTCTGGAAATGGGCTTACTATAACCGATAGCGATGGAAAACAACTGACCGGTGTTGAGTGCGCTGAAGAGTTTGCGCGTTACTTTAAAAGCGTTTATGCCACTCAGCAGCCTCTGTTAGATGTTGACGCGGCAGGTACATACGGGAACAGCAGTGCACGGGTACAGCTGGACTCCCTTAATTTAGCGGAGGTCAGAAAAGCCTTATCTCGACTAAAGCCTAAACGTTCGGCTGGCCCGGATGGCATTCCAGCCTTTCTTTTCAAGGATTGCGCCAGAGTCCTGGCCGAGCCTCTCCACTGCATTTTTAACTCTTGTTTACGGGCACAGGTGTATCCCGAGCAATGGAAAATAACAAGAGTTACACCTGTTCCGAAAGGTAAACAGAGTTCCGACGTAAACAAGTATAGGCCGGTGGCTGTGTTGTCTACAGCGGCGAAGGTTTTTGAGGCGGCTATCCACCGTAGTTTGTATGAGCAAGTTTCGCCTCAATTATCTGATGCTCAGCATGGTTTTCGTTCGGGGCGTGGGACGTCCACGAATCTGCTCAACCTCGTGAATTATTTATTTCCGACGGTTGATGCTGGGTCGCAAGTCGACGTCGTATACCTCGACTTTAGGAAGGCTTTCGACATTTTGGAAAATGACGTAGTATTACAAAAAATGGCACAGGTAGGATGCACTCCTGGACTTCTTCGGTTCTGGGCTTCTTATATGAGTGATCGGCAGCAATATGTAGACTATGGGGGGCATCAATCGCAGCCATATTTTACGAGGTCTGGAATAAGTCAAGGTTCGAACCTTGGACCTTTCGAGTTTGTCGTCACGATAAATGATTTACCATCAGTCGTAGAGCATAGCAAGTGTTTACTGTACGCGGACGATTTGAAGGTTTTTTTACAAGTTAAAGACGTGAACGATTGCAGATGCTTACAAAGCGATATCCAAAAGATATACACCTGGAGTCTGCAACATAAACTAGAATTTAACTTGGATAAATGTTCTGTCGTCAGTTTTACACGCGCCTGTAAATCTGTTAAATTCGATTATACCATAGGGACAACCCGCATACGAAGAGAGACTCGAATCCGGGATCTAGGCGTCTTATTCACGAACGACGTAACGTTTCGTGAACATATTATAAATATTTGCCAAAAAGCATATAGAAACCTTGGTTTTGTCTTACGACAAACCAAGGACTTTACGAATATGGCTGCGGTGCGGGTATTATATGACGCATTGGTGCGTAGCCATTTAGATTTTAACTCCTCTATTTGGGCCCCGGCCGAAGAAAAATACAAACTCATGTTGGAACGCATTCAAAACAAATTTGTTAGGCATTTGTACCAAAGAATGTATGGAGTATATCCATATTATCCTTTAATGTATCCGACTCTTTTTGTATTAGGCATGGTCGGATACAATGAATTGAAGGTACGGAGGGACTTATTCCTTGTGATATATCTAGTAAAAGTATTGCGGGGTCGAGAGTTGAACCCAGGAGTTCTACAGTCCTTACACTTGTCTGTTCCGGACCGATACGTGTGGAGGCGATTACGACCACCGTTACTTGCGCTACCGTACTCACGCACCAACTTACTGATGAAATCCCCTCTTGTTCGTGCTATGCGTGTTATCAACAAGCTGCAGGAGGGGATCGACATTTTTACGTGTAGCTTGGGTGAATTGACAAAAACATCACTCCATGAAATATGTATTAAATAATTCTATCGCAATGGACATTGTTCTGTAATGTTAGAATATTTTTATAATGTAATAAATAAATAAATAAATAAATAAATAAATCTTTTAAAGCATAAGGTTTTTGATATATGGTTCACAATGTAACACCATTTGTGGTATTACATTCGTCTTTTTTATTTGTAAATTTTGCAATCGAGTGGCTGTTTTGTGTAAAAAATATGAAATTGGCGTGAAATAAAACTCCGTCGAGAACAAGTTGGAAGCGAAGCGAACAATTAGGTTCGCAGTTCGTCTCCAATACTCGATAACAATTAGGTAACTCAGTTATCCTCGCTCCAATCAAATTGAAACTTATCCACTTCGTCCGAGACACTTTTATTACTATTCTCGTCGTTTCCAATTGCCTACATTTACAAACGTCTGAAGATAGAAGGTGCCGCGAGGGTCGTATATTCTGTGGAAGGCATCGAGGCGATAAACCATCTGTGTCTCATGTATTATCTGTGGAAACTGAGAGCAGCGTTCAGCTGGGCGTCTACTTCCGAATTCAGTTTGATTTCTGAATTCCGAGGCAAACGTTTACACATTCGGAATGTTGACGTACGGTGGAAACATACGGGATTAGCATCATGAAATAATTCATTCAATCTTATGAAAGCTTTGTAGACTTTAGAAGACATAAAATACCGTATTTTATAATTATTCGCAAAATAAATGAGTATTTCAAAGTTTACTAAGAATCACGATAGAGTCGTGAGTAACGGGGAATGGAGTTGTTGATCAGACATAGAAATTGTCTAAAGTACTCATCAAAAAAACTAATTTGGACTTGATAATTTAGACAAAATACTCGAGCAAAATGTGGAAACTAAAAATTATATCCCGAGTGTTTCCAGTAACCGCCATAGCCGCAGTTAGTGAAGTTGGCTTATCTCATTAACATCAGTATAATGCACTTGTTTTACCTTTATCTATATACCAACGGCGGAATCAGGCTTTAAATGATCTCTATTTAAATAGCAATTGTTAGAATGGTAAATGATATATTATTACTTCGGATTGTGTTCTTTGCTAATTGTGCCGTTGTATTTGAATGCGGTTTTCAATAAATTTGTATTTTTATCTATTCAATGCCCCTGTTTATTATTCTAATTGAATACAACGTTGAACTTATGATAGTATTATTAGAAATAACAAAATACAGTTTGAAGTAAACAAGACTGTTTGTAGGTGTGCTCAATTGAATATATTGTAGGCCTCCATTGACGTAAATAGTGGCTTTACGCCAGAGTTTTAAATAAACTTACGAACTGAAAACAAGCATTTATGACTAAGCTAATCTTAAACTTTGCGGGTACGTAGAATACGAAAACAAAGTATATAGGCGAGACGGCGATTTCAGAAGCTATATAATCGTGTAGTAGTAATCATTTCTAGCGTGATAAAATTGTATGCTAAACCTTCTCATCGTAAGTAATAGTTTCGTTGTTTATAACATAAATTGTTCACAGAATCGCACTAATGCTCCCGACAGCTTCCAAACGAGGAGATTTATGTCCAGCTCAGCGCATGGGCGAATACAATTACGTTAGCTGTGTAAAAAGATTAGATTTAACACGTGGGACATCTTTAATAATATGAATTTATATTTTAATTTTAATAAATCGTTCAATCTACCGATTAACTAGATTTGTCTCTTAAGTGAACGATGATTGTTTAAGTTTACGGTCAGGGTGTGCCACGCGTCGCTTAAGATTTATATTTAACACATAAAATAATTCAAAAATAAAATACAAATAGTATCAATAGGTATCTTTAACTGGAATATTAATTAGGAGTGTAATTGACTAGTCACATTTAAAGCAATTGTTAGGCATGTCTAAAGTTTTTAGTTCGTGAAAAAAACAAAATATGGCATGCACAATGTACGGATAAAGCGATATTCGACCGACTTTGAACTCCGATCAAACCACGTTCGACCGCTATCGAACAATAATTATGGTGATAGTAATTATATTTTATTCCGTTGTTTGCGCGTAATCGATAACCTGCTACGTACTTATAATAGTTATATTTTTCGAAATCAGATATTTTTAAGCAAATTCTTTACTGACTATTAAATTATATTATTTATATCACCAACCCAAGAGCATAGAACAACGTATATTGTTGACTAGCTGAGTCAGCGACTTCGTCTGCGTAGAATAGTTATTTTGGGTATCCAAAATTGTTTTTGCAAACTGTCCTAACCTATGTCCTCGGTTGCGTCCCTCACTCGCGACTCGTTGTTCGGTTCCCGTCGCTATTGCAAGTTAATCTTAAAAGATAGAAATATAGCGTAGCAGACTTTTTTTAGATCACTTGAAGGGGAATCATTCTTTCATATACATATTTAGGTATCTTGAACCGTTATAGCAGCGTACGCATCTGAAACCCACAGAGACGAAACATTCCCGCTGTATCTTTGCTTCTATTAGTCGCAGCGCGATATGTTAAAGCCTATATAATCTTCCTCGATAAATGTTCCAACCAACACAACATAATTTTTCAATTCGAACTTGTAGTTCCTGAGATTAGCGCGTTCAAACACACAAACAAACTCTTAAGTATAGATTAAAAAACACAAAACAAAAAGTAAACAAGTATTCGTATAAAATTCGGCTAATCACATTCCTAACTAACGATTACTAAAATGACTATTACACATGTATCCTCTCCTCAATACACAATTACATCCACTTTGTTACGTTTATAGAACATCACTAAGATTGACGTAATAAATAAATTGCGCAACGACGGTGCGAAGCAATGGCTGATTAGCATTGCGGGAGGTCAGAATTCGGTTCCACTACAGAAATATAAACGCGGTAACTTTGAAATTACTGAAAGTACGAAAGGAATAAAATGAAGTTATTCTTACGCCAGGCTTGTAACATCATTGATTTCCCGATTAGAAATACTGGCAGAACAGATTGACTTTGGCACTTCCGATAACAATAAGCACTCGATTACTTCTGCCACCGTCAACATCGTAGCTCCTAAAAGGAATGTTATCATAGCTACTAGCCTTAACCTAATTAAACATTCTAGACTTTTGATAGATGACATAGCAAACGTCCCAGTTCTACTGCTGATAACAAATTGATAGTATGAGTCGAGATCTATTCGACCGAAAAACTTTAAACTTTGATTTTGGATTAAGAAAAACAATAAACGACCACTATCTTCTAAGTGCCTACTGACTATAATTTTTATTTTGTTTAGAAATAACAATATCACGTAAGTCTTTCTAAATAAGCACAGCAGTTATTACCGCTTCGCGTACACTTTGAAATGCAAAATGTGGGTCGAATGTGGGACTCCGTCGAGACTCTGACCTTCGAATCTTTAAATTACAAACCTCAAACCGCTGCAGCTAATACTTATGTAACTGAAACTTAAGCCACAACGCCAGTCGAAGCTGTTACAGCTCCGTACAGCTGGTTAGATGGGACTAATGAGCGCGACATTCAAAGCTGTTACTCTCACCGACTTACCCTAATAACGATTTTCAAAAACACCCCGAGCACGTCTACAGAGAACTTCATTTTGTCGTATCACATCACTTCCACTGGAACACAATCAGGAATATACATTACAATGCCTTTGCGCATCATTCGACCGTCTTCGACGACTCACCATTTTACGGAGACGCAGCTGTATCCTAGGATATGCGCAGAGATTCGTTAAATTCGGTTCGAAAAGTATAATATGCGCTGCGTTTGATTTTTGCGCGGCGTTTGGAGGTGCGCGGGCGCATCGCGAGGTCGTTTAATTTTAGAACCGAACGATTGAAACTACGAACACGGTATCCCGGGATAGGGCGGTGTAGCGCACTATTTAATGAGATTATTCTGTCTCCTGGCTACCACATGCGAGGATGAAAAAACAAACATCGCGTGGGATAATGATCAACGGCGGAATACATCCGATGATAGTAATTCAACCATATGTGCTTCATTATTATTAAAAGTTATTCCAGATCGACTTATGCTTTAAGTGGAAAGCTTTCGTTTAAAAAGTGAGAATGCAAAGTATTAAAGTTAAGTTTATAACAAATCTTCGTAATAGTTATAGATTATTAATAATTAATCACTGACTAGTTCGATGCGGTTAAATTCTTGCCGAATTTTATAAGTTTAGTTTTCTAAACTACCCGTGAAACGACGCCGTTTAGCGGAAGATAAAACTCGCCAAGAGACCAACGCAGGGTCGATTCTCTAGCTCGGATAAAGTGCTCGTATACGTGTTATTTCTTGTGGATGAGAATAACGCACTACAAAACTCGGCCAAAGCCAAGCGACAGCACTATCTCGCTTCTCGCTTCTCGTCGTCGCCGTGATTACAATAATTATTCCAAATAATTGTATAATCTGTTAAGTAGAGAGTATTCTACTCAACAGATTAAACAACTATGTACAGATTATAATCCCAAACACAATGAAAGAGTTCTTGCCGATACATAGGTATCCCTTATTGATGTTTGATCGGGACTTTAGCTCGTGCAGAACCGCCCTCACGTAGTACGCAGAATGCAGAATATTACAGAATTTAGTTTATATCGAAATTTCAGTGATCCTCACCCGTCGGAAATATGCTCGCTTCGTGCACATAACAAATTTCGTTCGAGTTTTCTTATATCTTAACCTAGCTTAGCCTTTGTTTTATACACCTAATGTAGGTTAAATCATATCACCTTTTGAATTATATCAACAACACTGACAAGAGGCTTTTACTAATAAAAATAGACGAGAATATTGCTGGGTTCTTGCTATACATATCATAAGACCTACATCAAGTTATAATTATTTCATTTGATTTTTATCAACACTTAAATATTACTTTTTTTTTTAATTAATTATATTGTGTGGTAGATGTTTGTCTTCTCTTTGTAGGTACTCAACAAGCAAACGCTCTTTTGTCAAATGAATGTATTACGACCAAATTTTCTTGTAAAATAATCTTAGAAGATATACATTTACTGTCGCGGACTGTTTTAAATTATTTAAAGATAATTAATGCCTACATATTTTTTGCTTATCTTGAACAGATTTCTCAGCTTTTCTACATGTCCTACTGTTTCTTAGCTCCCGTTGGTCACAGTCTGATTGATGTTTTTTACTCTAAAGTCTTCCTCGATAAACGCTTCATTCAACACAAATGAATTCCTTTGATTAGCCCGTTCAAACGAACAAACAAACTCTTCAGCTTTATAATATTACTAATTTATTTAACATAATTTAATTATAAATATTGATTTTACCCGGTTTTTCCACAAAATAAAAATTAACCACTTATAATTAATATGGGTGCATTTGAGTATGTCCGATCGGTTCGTGTTACACGGACATAGTGTGGTGCTAATTTAGTGGGGCGTCCGTCTCACTTACATTAACAGGATTGTTATGAAAAACGTATGCGCAATCTTTTCCCTGTCCCAACGGTAAGTTAACGGGAGTCCTCTATTTATTCTATGTAGGTAATAGGTATCCGAGTCTTTCATGTAAAAGTAATTATACAATAGCCTGTATACATCCAAATTTAAACGTTAATAATCATGGTAAATGTTTGATGACAAAACTTAATAATCAAATGCAATGTAAGAAGGACACATATTTCTACCTACACTAAGTTCTTCGCTTATTCTCTTTCTCGATTTGGAGTTTTAGCGCAAACAGCTTTTTGTATTCTTTCGCGAGTTGGTCCGGCGAATACTCCACGGGATCTGATTTGAAGAAGCCTGGGCCGGCTTCGACGTGCGGACGATTGACCTTTCTTCTTAAACCTGCGGTGATTTACAATTTGCACGATATTCAGGTAACAATAATTAGCAGTAAATCTAGTGACAAACAAAGATTTACTCTGTATAGCGTTTGAGAGAACAAAAAATAATCTAAATTAAAAAATAAGTTTTGTTATTTTGTAGTAGTAATGCAGCTGGATAATTTACAATAACAGAACATTGAGCAATATTCAAAGTACCTGCCTCCAGCCGATCCATTGGATCATTTCCCCGCGGAGCCGACGCAGTGGGTACCTCGTGCGCCGTCACAGTTGCTTCCGTGCTTTGCCCTGGTATTGCTATCATTCCAAATGTTGTCACTGTGCATATTGTAAGTCCCGCGCGCGCTGTGTTTGAAATAATCATTTTTATAAGCGACAAATAAAAACATTATTAACCGCCGCGGACGTGTTTTACGCATTATTTGTGTAAGCAAAGTGTGAAAACATTAATATTTTTCACATGCCATTATAGAAATTAGACATCGATAATAGATTGACGCCGGTAGGACTTGAACCGGCCTCCACAGCGTTCCTTGCTGATGATCTTGTCGTCTCGAAACGATTTATTTAAATAAAACACTTAAACGGTTTAAAACGTCAGATATATTATTTAAACTTGTCCACGAGGAGATGTATCTTTTTGACTAATAGGTATATATCGCGTTTTAGACCATTAAAGTGTTTTATTTAAATGTGTTCAACTCGCGTAACTACAGTACATTACAGGTAGTATCTATTTTTCCACCAAAAAAAATAATTAATGCAAGTCCTCAAGCGCTATACTTGATACCAATGTAAGAAAAACAGAGGAATAGAAATACTTAGAAATGCAATCTCAACCTAAGTAAGCCATATTTAGACTTCCAATGGCCTAACAATATACCTACCTTCGGCCTAAATAATTGGACTTAACGTTGCGAAATGGGTTAGAACAACATCAAACCCAGTAAATTCAATGGAAACCAATTTGATTTTATCTTTTAATTAAAAATTCAGCTTCAAATTTGTAATCCCGGAATTGATTCGTCATTTTCATTTAGACCGATATTTCACGGTCCTCTTGAAGACGCTCGCGTCCGCTATTAAGTTTTCGATGGAATTTTCGCTTAATATTCCATCGACTCTTTCATTATCATTAATCCATTTTTAGATTAACTTATTTTGGTTCAATTGAAATCCTAGTTTGACATAGTTTGGAGCAAATTTTATAAAGACTTAGGAAAAAGGAAGAGTAATAAAATTTACATTTATTATATATTAGTATTCAATATCTTGTATACAAAAGTAAATGCTGATTTTCTACTACACCACTACTTTGCAAAACTTTATTTTATAACTAGCCGTGTCGGTGACTTCGTCCGCGTAGAATAGTTATTTACTTTTTAAAATATAGCTTTTACCACGATGTTTTATAGCCTAAAGCTTGCCTCTGTAATCCTCTAACCGACACAAAATAATTTATTAATACGAAGCAGTATTTCGTGAGATTTGTACACTCAAACAAACAATCAATCATTTAAATAAAGCACTTTAACGGTTTAAAACGCGATATATTAGTTAAACTTGTTTGAAAATGATTTTTACGTGAACACGGCTGCTGCAAAACACCCGAAATGTCGGGCCGAAGTTAAAAATCATTTTCAAATAAGTTTAACTAATATATCGCGTTTTAAACCGTTAAAGTGTACTCGCGTAAACTATAGACAGTATTTAAACAATCAATCACACATACAAACTTTTCAGCACAAAGGATCGAACGAAATCTTTATATTAAGGGCGCTACTAAATTAACTCTAGCGCAAAAAGATACCATTCCGTATTTTTTGCCAACAAATCACCTCAACCGTTCAATGAAAATCAATTGCCGCGTTGTCAATTCGAAGGTAACACTTTGCATAAATCACAGTGAGCCGCAGTAAATTCCCGCAAAGCACCTTATAATGGCAAGAATAGCTCAGCCCCAGTGTTATCTACGCTTTTTTAATAGCTTTTATGGGGAATATTTGAGTAGGTAAATTATGATCATGGTCTTAAGAATGCGAGTTTCAGCATAATACTATTATATCGCATTATTTATTTACCCTGAAGGTTTTCTGTCGCTACTAAAATTAATAATAATTTATGCGGAGGTAGGTGAAAATGGCATTACCGCCGTATCAATACAATAAAACTTTACTCGGAACGAATACGTACGTAATTACAAATACGAAAAGCTATCTTACATAAACATGTTAATTTTTATGATAAAACGGAGTACAGTAGTACTCCGTTTTACGAATATTCGAACAGTTATTGCGTCCAGACCCGAAGCTTTAAAAGAATCAACGACCCAATCTCATCATCATATCTCCCAATACATTGCTATACAATAAATTTATTAGTTAATATGTACATGTCTTTACGTTCAATAATTTTCTGAATAAAACTCAGGTATAACAATACAAGAATATAAGTCTAAAATAGGTTGTATGAAATGCTTGGCATTTATGGCGATAGAGTTCTTTAAAAACGGGAAAGAACGCACACATTTTCGCTAAGTCGTCCCTGACTATCGTAATGAAAATATAAAAAAAAGAAATTTACTCAAAAAAAAGAATACTGTGAAAATTACTTCGCGGCCGCAGCGCTGCGTCAAAGGACATCATGCCTTGTCTAGTATAATCTGTGCTTTTGACAAACGGAATAATAGTGATGATCTAGATCGAACTAACGAATAAATTTTAGGACACATTTTTTTGTCTCTATCGCCCTATCCATATTTCAATCGTAACAAATAATAGGTGTTTTTTTGAGATTTCAGAAATTATTTTATATAAAAATCTATAATTTCGAGACAGAGACTCTTTTTTTTAATTTAAACATTATAGTGTACTGTTTGAGCCTGTAAAAGCCGCAGTAAGCAAAACAGAAAAACTATCTTTGTCTCATCTGTGGCAAAGACTATGTCTATGGGTATATATTGAGACTGTGGGTATTAGGCTATTAGAGACTATTGTATAGTCTGTGATTCAAAATCAAGTTTTAAAATAATTCATTTTACCGGGCGCTAGCGGTTAGTTTAATAATTTTTAGCTTTTCAATATAAGATGTCAATTTTTCAAGGATTTCCCGACTTACCTGGTCCTCATGAAACTGCCTTCTGTAAAATAAACGAAGTTTATTGTTGTGGAAACGTGCGTAGTGGCAATGTGTCCGATTTTACAAATTCGGTAAGGTTAAGTTACTGTAAATAAACTTACTACAATGTTTTTGTCTGTTTTGTAACATCTTACATACTTCATATTTCAGATGAATAATCACCCTAAAATTAACGTTACAAGGGATTTGCATCATCACCGATTGACGGACGAAAATATTTCGATGTATATAAATGTTGAAGACAAATTTTTGAGAAAAGTATCAAGTGTGTGGTATAATCAAGGATTCTTGGAAGCACTAAGCGTCGCAGCGGATCCTTGTATCAATCGAGAGAGCAAATTACTAGCTATAGCCGCTACATATGCATTAAAAGTTGCTAACGCTTTTTCTACATTTAGATACTTCTTGCAGCCGCATTTAAAAGACATAGGCCCAAAAATAGTGTCTAAATACTCTAGGACTCGTAATTGGGGCGGGTCGCCAGTGAAGTGCATGGCATGGCATCCTCACACAACTAAAATTGCAATTGCAACTGCCGATGATGGTGTTAGAGTGTATAGTGCGGATGTTTCATTTGTCTCCACATTGAAGTGCAAATCTCAGGGCCATGTGTCTTCTCTAAGTTGGAGACCATATTCTGCTTCAGAAATAGCGGTTGGATGTGAGCAAGGTGTCATTGTGTGGACAGTCGATCCCAATTCCATGTTCACAAAACCTTCTTCGAGTAATGCTGTAGTATTAAAAAGGTAAAGTTACATAAAATACAATGTTTTCATTTTATATAGCAAAACTTTTATTCTTAAATTAAAACCTAAAATGATATAATAATAGAATAAGCATTAATTGTTATCATGCAGGATTAGGTTTAAATCCTTTTCCAATAATTTCATGAACAATGTTAGCATATATTACTACATTATTTTATAAGCTTTTAGCAATAGAGTTTCTTTAGTCAAAATTGGTCAGAAAGAAATGCGACATACAATATTTGTTGTAAGTGACAAGAGATATAAAATACTTAACAATGTCTAATGGTTTTTACCTATTTTCATGAACAATCTTCTATAAAACTACTTACTAATAAAATAAATACAATTACTTTTAAATATTTTTCTCACTTTAAAAGTAATAGTTGGTAGTCGTTTTTTATTACTAACATTTTCTTTTTACACTATATAATTCTTTAAAACATTACTACTTATTATCATTTAAAGTTAACAGTTAATATATTATGACTGATAAATACTCTTCACAAGTGTAATATATATTTTAGGTCAGGACATAGCCCAGTAACCGACGTAGACTGGTCACCAGATGGGGACCTTTTGATTAGCTGCTGTGGTGCTGATACTTCGATGCTTGTGTGGGATGTTTCCATGGAGTCAGCAGTTCCTCTACGCAGGGTAGCCGGTGGAGGAATAGTATTTGCAAGATGGGCGCTCAGTTCTAGCAAGATATTTGCTGCTACATCCTCTATTATATTTCGGTAATTTAAGAAATGTAAAGAAGCAGTAGTATATATAATAGTGACCACAAAATACTGTTGTTTTATTCCTCCAGGGTCTGGGACACAAGGACGTGGACTCCAGAGCGATGGTGTGCGCGAGGTTGCCGCGTCGTCGCTGCTTGTTGGGGTCCTAACGATGTTGTCCTCTTTGCTGCTAAAGGAGAGCCCATGGTGTATTCTTTAAGAAATACTGGTCTTCTCAATGGTAAACTTTTTATAATCTCTATATTATTGGTAACATACTGTTGAATTACTTTTTAATATTTCTTCAAAACTCAGTAACATAGTCTCGTTTTAGGGGCACGAGATAGCAAAGCGCAACCAGTTTTAGATGTGACAAAAGTCGAATTGCCTTCCGGAGATTGTGTTGGGGGTCCGATCCTGGACATGTGTTGGGACCCTTCGGGCAGGTACCTCGCCATGCTGTTCGAGGAGTCCCACCTTATTGCTGTATTTTGTACTACTCAGATGTTGATGCAGCTCACTGTTACGCCTTGGTAAGCTTTTCTTTGATTATCACTACTGAGTAAGGAGGTGTTATATAGAGAGATATAATAATAATTAAACTCGTATCCAGCTTCATACTTCCTTACTCAGAAGACCATATTAGTCGAAACTAGATTAGTAATGTTCGACCAGACCATATTTTGAACATGAAATTTGTCAGATATGATAAGGCTCTACAAGTCTCCTTTATACTTGAATTCTGTTTCAGTTGTTTTATCAGCGGCGTAGACAGCGAGGTGCCGTCTACTATAGCATTCCAGCGAAACTTCACAGAGGGCGCCTGTCTCACCACCGCTTGGTCCAGCGGCAGGGTGCAGCACTTTCCTATACTTTATACCGATACTTATTGATTGTTCTGATGTGCCAAAATTGCGGAAATATGTAAATAAAAAAATAATGCGGATAAATAAAAATTGTTAGGGCACTAGTGGGCGTGGTGGTTATGATAAAATTAATAATTCCTTTTTAAGTTTAATTTATGTAAATATTTTTAAGCATAGACTAATTTCATATAAGTTTTGTAAGATGTTATTATCTTGGATGGAACTGATGTATTTGTAATGAACCCTTCATTTGCCATTAATAAAAACTTCGAGTGGAGTAGTTCTGGTTACATTGAACGTGAGATGGGCGCGATTTGATACTTTTTTATCGACAGACTCGTTAGTAACGGTTTCATCTACGATTAAATTATTTTTTAACACGTTGTCATTTAGAGGGCGTTTTAAATCTGCGTCGAGAATGACTTCGGCTTTTACATAAATGTCCGCTCCTTTGAAACCCCCGTCGGCGTGCCTTCTGCCTTTATATCTTCCGTTACAAAATTTGAATATGAAGCAAATTCTTCCTAGCACCTCCCTCTCTAAGTTGTCCAGATCCACCTTCAAATTGACATTGACATCGGCGCTTATGGCGGATGACAATTTATCTTTGATGGCTTTCAGTTCATTGGATAAAAGCCTCTTCACGACATTCCTGATCTCCACGATGGTTCCTTTCACGTAATCGGATATAACCTTAATGTTGTTTTCCTTATTTTTGGCCTCGTCCAATCGAATGGCGTTCGTTCGTCCCACAAATATATCTACGATCGCTCCTTCCATGGCCCTACTCGTCCCGTTAATGGCCGCCACGACCGATTGCTTCTCTAGGAAGTTGTCCGTGTCTCTTGCGTACATTTCTGCGTAATTCCGGACGAGACTGACCGTCGTGTCATTCAGAAAGTTGTAAAAGTCCAAAAGAAAGTTCCTGAGCTCCCTCGAACAGATCGAGAAGCGATTGCAGTTGTGTCGATTTAAATCGGTGTCCGAATCGTAGGCGAAATTTTGATACCTCCTGTCGCGTGGTTCATCATAAGCGCACCGAATACTGTACCTTTCGGCCAGAGCGTCAAAATCTCTTGTCAGGTAAGAAAAAATTGTACGCAGGCCGTCGAAGAAAGATGCGACCTCTTGCGTTCTCCGTGGATTCCTCGACTCAACTTTCTTCATATAACTATTCCTCAAATTATCCAGTTCTTTGAGACACAGATTACTCAGTATTTTTGAAGTTCGATCTTTCGAGAAACCCTTTTCCCCGATGCATTTGCTCTCTATTAATTTTCCGATTAGTTTATCCAACGTCTTCAAAATTAGATCGTGCGTTTCGTCTGTTACAGACTCCATTTTCAATGCTTTATCAATTTTCTTTCGAAGTTTTTTATATTTTTTCATGTGTTTATTTTCTCTTAAACCATTTTTGTCGCGTTTAGATGTTAACTCTTTAAAAGTTGCCTCATCTTTCGTTTCAAGGGTTAAGTCATAATTGTTGTCACTCGCATCTTCGTCTTGAAGGTACGGCTTTAGTTCTTCTATTTTGATATTAATAGCCTTCGCTACGCGCGATTCTTCAATTTCCCTACTTATGTTGTTCGCGAATGAAGTCGTGTGCAGTAAAGGTTTCAGAAAGCTACTCAATACTGACGATATGACGTCGGGGTCGGGCAGCTTTCCCACTACTCTTTCTTCCGGGTGACATTCCACTAACAGACAGAACAACGCTGCAAGGAAAGGAACGGAAGGTTGTCATTTCAATATTGCGACTACACTTTTAACACACAGTGCATCATTTGGTATTCCTAGAGCAGTTATTTCATTTTTATTACCTTGTTTACTGCCCCCGAATTTATTCCGCCTCGCACGCGTAATTTGAATCTTTTATTGCACCGCTGTCGGTTATATTCATTTTATTGGCTCTAGATTTCGAATAAAAACAACGTAAGCAACAGTTTTTATTAACAAATTTATAATCTCGTACAAATATTCGTATAAAAATAAAAAGTCCTCGGGAAGTTTATCCACATCGTATCTCTGCAAATAACTTCTCCGCTGACCGTGCAAAAGCTGTTAAGCTTACGAACTAATATTGCAACAATGGTATCACTCGCTCGTTAGAAACCTTAAGCTAACATTAAATATTCGTTTATTACTAGTAGCACTCTTGGGCTTCTACGATAAAATAATATAATTACTTCTACGATGAAATTACACTCGCATTAATTTCCTTATTCTAATGAAAATCTTTATTGCCTTAGGTACATAACCTAAGGTGTAAAAATAAGATGCGAAAAAATTAATTCTCGTGTAGAGAATATTTTGAATTGACCAAAATGCAAACCAGCATCGATCGTGCGAGCCGTTCAGTTTAGGATTAGTTTTTCACTCACGATACTGTTATACACATCGTTTAAATTATAATTGTCTTAAAATACATATGTATATAGTCTCTTTGTTTAAATTAATTTAGTTTCTATGCTTCGTAAAAGGCAAGAGAAAGTTAACGGGATTCAGACATCTTACAACTAAAGTTACAATGTATAACGTAAGCGGGAAGTACAGTATCATTCGATTTCCGCGAATAGAACTGGCGGCAAAGGTACATCATCATCACCGTTTCCCATCTGAGCAAAGTACAGTCGCAGAATGACGTCCTTCCACTGGCTATTCGAGTAAGTTGAGTTTGCTGTTCGTTTTGCGCAGCTGCGCTCTCCAGGGAATAATTTTCGTCGGCTCCTCATCCTCTTGGTCGCGTTTGCCGTTCATCGGTGCGTGCCCTGAAATGGCATTAGGGCACAAAAATGAGAAAAATCTTTTTAAAAAATCGTCTACGTCTACTAAGTTATACTGAATATTATTCTTCTGGTTAGAACACGCACATTACTTGTCGTAATCTTGATGACATCAACTCACCATTACAATGTTCACTAGAGAGTTTCATCTCGGAGGGTGCTCGCGTCGGCTGCGCAGGCGCATCGTAGCAGAGGGTAATATTATCGATGGACACGGCGCGACCTCCGCCAGGGTATGGACGCCACTCGCCGTTCGAATGGCCATTTGTGTCCTCTACTTTGGGAGTGTACAAGGATTGTCTGAAAATAATAATTATTCGATTACTCACACACATACTATTCAATTGGAGAGGGCGCTAGTGTCGCACTGTGTAAAAATGATAAAATACTAAGGACGGGAAAAAGCGAAAGGGATCTATCGTAAACCATTGAGTTATCACAAACGTTATTCTCGCAATCGAAGTACTAAAACAGAAGGTACGTTGAATAGAAAACTCGACACTACCATTGTTACATTGATACAAACCGAAAGAAGACTAGGAGAGGGTTTTCAATTAGTAAATAGGCATTTCTTTACTGAACTGAAGTCACTATTTTGCGAAATATTGGTCCAATTGCTTATGAATAACTAACTTGTGGCGCGTTAAATTACAGAACCAAATAGAAAATCATTCATTCCTGTAGGTAACCTAGGTGCACTTATGAACGTCATAACTACTACGGAGTACCTACTACTATTTTTTGTACGTGATTATATTATCATTGTTGAACTATGTGATTCGGAAATAAATTAAATGTCAGTGAAAAAACACCTAGTTTCTATTCCTCCAAGTTATGTGCTAAACACAAACGCTTAAAAAAGCAGTTCATTTTCTAAAAGACAAATCAAAAGAAACAACCGACATAAATTGTGTAAACGTCGAAACTTCTAGTGCCATCTATCGATCTAGTTTAGATTTTTTTATATAAAAATTCAATTTTTTTCGAAAGTGAAACAGAAATTATAGAAATTTTGTCACTATGGTTTTAGACATAATAAAATAAAGAAGTGTGCATTTCTTGTAATAGGTGGTGTAAGGAATGAATTTACTGTAAATTTTAATAATATTATTTGTAGCAAAGCTAGAATAAATTTTAATCCATGTCAATGTTATGCACACTCAAATGTTTATATTGAGAGCAAATATTACAAGATTAGCTTAGTGAGCATCCTACTATTCCACTAAAGTGGGATTCTAATTGGAATAGGAAATAAATCAGTTGCACTACAGCACTCATTGAGTTTGTTTATCTTATATACATTCACGTATACGTCCAAACTCTTATACCCGAAACTCTAACACGCTGCACGTCTAAACTGTTATACACTACAGCTGGAAAAATATAAAGCGCAATCCGGATAGTCAAAAGAAAGTCTAGGAAACTTAGTCCTGTTATAGTAGGATTTACAACGCTTGGGAAGAAAGTCAAAAACCTTAAAAAGAAAAAATCTTTCGAAAAATCAACAAATGGGTTACCACAGCAGAAGGGCCAAAATAATAATTTTGCGATACGATAAGATTTTAACCAAGTTTGGAGCGATGAAAAAAGATGCAAAAAAGGTAATCAAGGACAATGTACAAGAAAGAAAAAAAAATAAGCACAGTCCATTAAAAACTACTACGAGTCCATCACAAATTTTAAGCTCGGCCCCCTAATTGAATAAAAAAATACAACGGCATAAATACATATAAATACATTGCAACTTTAAACACTAGTACTCGAGTGACAGACAACAGACTAAAAGAAGTTATAACAAAAAGTGGCGTGGAGAGGAGAAGAGAGTGATACAATAAATTTATTTTTCACTTTTATGATTTGAAGCGAGGTATGTATGCAGTGGGTTATTTAGAATTGGAGTCAATGGATCTCTAATAAATTCGGAGTGCTAAAGACATACTAAACAAAACAAAACAACCACTGTCGAATATTGAAATCCAGGCAAACTAAACAACACAAACAAATCTAAAGGTCTTGAACGAATGTCGAAGAAACTCGAAGAAAATCAACTGAAAGAACAAGCCAGAAGGAAGCCTCATGGATGAATATCTTATCTTTTGGCTACAAAATTACATCTACTGGACGAATAAAGATGTTAACTTTTGTGTTCCAACTGTTTTAAAATATAATGGAGGTGTGTAATTCCGTCATAGTTAGTTAAACACAATTCATCAACAGCCGGACTTTCTACGAATCCTACACGAGAGAAACAGATTCAAATGATTTGTGGGCGAGCTCAAACATTTTTGTGCGCGCTATATAGCCGATGTAGCGTTAACAATAAATTAAATGAAAGGAATTCTACTCAAAATAGCCTTAAAGACATTATGTGTGCTATGCTGGAATGTGTTAGCGCTATTCTGGCATGAAGACTTCATTCCTCCTGCCAAGAAAACCGGAGATATCGTCGATGAACTTTCCGTGTGAAGAAAAAATCGTATTATTCCTACAGTCGCTTCCGCGGAAACAGTAGAGAGCGTAGTAGTGCGTTAAAATGTTGCCAAGTTAAAGACTCACCTCAACCTGTTTTCGGCTTCTTCTCTTCGCGCTAGCAACTGTCTCTTCCAAGCGGGTACTGCCGCAGCCCTCCTCCTCTCCGCCTCCCCCGCCAACTCTTTCTCCAGGTCCCTTCGTGCCTTTTCTGCTGCTCGCCTCGCCAGCATTTGCCGCTTCCACGACGGGATCACGTTGCCAGCCGCGTCGCGTTCAGGGATCTGTAGGCAACCCTTCCGTCGACCAGCCGTCGTATTGAGTGCCCAAATGGACAGCTCGTTCGAGCCATTCGGACGCCATTCTGACGTCCGAACTACTCGACTTTATTTAAGCCGTTAACTTATAATGAAACAATTTTGTTTCGACATACTCGTACAATATTCATGACTATCCTGAACGTTCAAGTTTTAGTCAAATGTTTAAAAAAGTCACAACTATTTATAAAATAAATGTGTATAATATGGATACATCTTCGATTTATTCAAATCGCTTGTATTGACTACCAGGTTATCTTTATTCAAATTCACAATGTTTTATGACGGAGGCTGAGCCCATCATGACGCGATATGAAGAAATTAAGACAACGTCTATTGCAATACACCAATTCTAGATATCGCCAATGTTACTAGGACGAAACCCGGAGGTTAACGAGTAGGACATAGATTATAGATGAAATTATGATAAATGTAATATCGACAGATAATAAATAGAGTCCCGATCACGCTTTTAATTTTTCATCTTTCAGCTTTTCAGTTTCAAATCTAGACGAGGTCCGTGTTACGCGTTATTATTGTGAAAATTTCAATTAAGTAATAATGAGTACAAGACTTAAACCACTTTCATCGACTGCTTATTTAATTTTTAAGCGTCGCCACTTTGCGGTCGAGATAATTCTCGGTGCAGTCGGGAGACTCGGAGAAAATATATAATACATTATGATAATTTGTAAACGCCTCGTTTGCCTCACCTCGAAGAAGAGAAACCTCGGTTTAGACAACTTTTTCGCAATTTCGATTCTCAAATGAACGAGCGTTGTCAAGTGTGATCTACAACGGTCGATCTAAACTACCGGAGGGTCCAAACCGCGGAAGTAACGCCATTAAATAATTATCGAGTTATCTACATGGTACAGTTAGCAAAACAGTCGATTGTTACATTACACGCGATCACTTCTCGCCGCTGACCGTGACCACTAACCGTAAGCCGGGTTCGGTCTTAGACTCGTTTAATCCTTGATCTCTACGAAAAGAAGCGACTCAAATTGTCTGCACTATTCGCGTCAAGAAATGTTGAAGACGTCTTCTAATGAACATCTTAGATAGATTTTAGATCGCTTTACGTATTCAGTTATTCAGAGTCGTGTCGCTTTAGTGTTTCCGTAATTTCACGAAAAATTATGTAATTCGAAATTGTTTTCGAAAGTATTACGCAAACATTTAGCGGACCTTTTGACATAACATTTCACTTATACCGTATAACAGACGGTCAATGTTGAGAAAGAGAAAAATAAAAACCGGTTTCAATAATCCCTTGTATAATAACCATTGTAATAATGGGGTGCAGATATTTCGTTACACTTCCCGGTCAATGGGGGCGATTCTCCCGCGCGTCTGACTACTTACGAAAACAACAATGTAACTTGTGTAAAATCGCAGTCTCTGAATTGAGACGAAGCTCATCTAAAAGTTCGTTCAATTTTATCGGTCCTTCGAGGAAGCTCGGGGAAGAGCACAGCTTTCTAACAATATGATACATTTTCCTTTGTTTTAAACGCGAAATAAGCGTAGTTACCGTGGTTAGCGTTCTGAGAGGATATCTCTTGTCTAAGATTTTTTCATAACAAACACCTATTTGAGTGTGTTCAACATAAAGTGACGAATGTTAATTATGAATAGGAACTGGACAAGAGATTAGGAGATTCATCCGTGATTCGCCATCGCGTCGGTCCATTATATTTATTGATGCGAACTGAACGAGAGTGTAATTAGTTTGAACTTTTCGGGTGTCACGCTCGACAAAAAGCAGTTTACTATAAATTCATTGTATTTATGACAATAGTGGTAAACGATCAAAAGAGTTTAGTCTAGACTAGTTTAGTCCCGCGTCGCCTAGCATAGGAACGTTGGTTTGCGACCTGATGCTTCTTTCGAACATCGAAATCGCCTCGTGTCAACCCATGTCGATTTATGAGTTGGTAAACAAAGAGTTCGCTTGAAACCACTCAATAATTGGGCGAACAGCACATTCCTTCCATAATTACAAAACGATTTCTTAGCCTCGATCGCGTTCTTTTCATCGATTACAAATCATTTCACAGTTCACTTCGTAATGTTACATGTTAGCTGCGATTTACGAAACACCGAATTTCATAGGTTTTAGAAGTTAGTATGACGTTATTGGGGGCAACAATGCGAAATAAATCCCGCGAATATATCGTTAGACAGATCGCGCCACGAAATATTCCATCGGCATGGAAAAGAGAGCGATTTGGTCAAAAACGCCAGTCATCTTTCACGGCCATCGCACAGCGGAGAGGGAGTTAACTGGGCCACTGGGTCGGCTGCGCGGATGCAACTGCATTTACTCAGAAAATCTTTGATGTTTCTAGCTAAACGAGACGAAATTGAAGAATACTCTCGCACGAGCAGATCGCTACGCGTGCGAGCGTTTACTTGTCGGTCGGTAGTTGCAGATAATTAAAGCATTCGTTATTGTTAAATTAATTAAATCTCGTCTTATCGCTGCGCGGTTTCATTACGTAGCTGACCGAAGGCACCTCCGCAAGTAGTTTATATGTAAATAATACCTTTTTTAGTTTATAAGAACAATTCAAGCAAATTAAAGGCCATAAAGTAAACAATGTGCAGAAACAGCACTCACCTGATCGACAAAGTTGTCCGCCGTGAAGCGCTTCGTGAACTCCGTGAAGGTCTCTTTGTCCTGCAAGCTCTCCCGCCTCGCGCGCTCCACCTTCATCTTCTTGATCCCGGTGATGTCCTTGGACATCTTCAACTCTTCGATCAAGTCCGTTTTCGCGTTTTTGTAAATTTCGGCCGCACTCGGCAGGCACTGCAGGCTGACGGAACGCGTCGGCGGAGCGGACAAGGTCTTCGTGACGGTGGTCTTGAGCCGGACGGCCGTCAGTTCGGCGCTGCTGATAGCCGCCAGGGGTTGGCGGGTAGAGGGCGGCTGCGGGGGCGGCGGAGGAATGGGCTCCGGCGCGGGGGGCGGCGGTGGAGGCCGGGCCTCCGCCGCGCCCTCGTCCCTCTTGCAGGGCGCCGTGATTGTCTTTAGATACTCCGAGGGTTTGATGAGGCGGTCGGGCGCGTTGTGCGGGAACGCGGGCGGCACGAACGGAAGCGCCGGCTGCTTGTTCACGAGGTTCGGGCAGCGCGGTCTCTCGTCGTCTGCGCACGTCGAGTCGCGCCTCCCCCCTGCAACAGCGCGCCGTTAGAGGGGAGAGAAAGTATGCGCCCGCGCATCTATAACTCTTATTGAATTGTAATAAAATTTCCTCTATTTTTAAGGATCGTATACGATTTTTGCGTTTTATGCAACGATACCGAGCGAATCGTAATGTGAATCGTTTCCGCGTGAGTGTGGCGATAGAAAACGCGTAAGAACGCGTCGTCGCTTGAGCGCAGTGACGCGCGCGAGTTTGAATACTTTGCCGGTATGGTGGGTAGCTGTAGGGGAATAGAAATTCTGCATAATGCATATAAAGCAGTCGGACGAATCGGTCCAGTCAAAGGAGTGACGAGGCATTAGGAATAACCGCGGCAACGTTTTTCTCAATAATGATGACATTACAATAAATCGCAACGATATATTAAATTAAAGCCGATATTGCGCGCGTTACGCGTTTTCCTCAGCGGCCTAGAACCAAATCCACGAGTCCAAACCGATATAGAGAAATGAAAGTAAACGCACTGATTTAAATGAAACAATTATTTTACATATAATTCTTTTGAATGGCAAACAGAACGGCACTAACAACCCATTAAACGTAGAAAGCGAATTTAATTACGGAATACTTTATATCCGAATAGAGCTTTCCTCTTAAATTTTGGGTTCCGCAGAAACGCAGCCTTGTATTAGATATAGGGAGGTCAATATTTAAAACAATGTTTACTAAATCGATGTCATTTAATGGTAGGGGAAATGCCACAGCCTATAAGATTTTGACAAGATGCACTGTATAAACTTTTCCTTTGGAAGTTTGATAATTCACAGATAGAAACCGGAACGCCATTAAACTCGACGGCTCATTCACCTGCGGACGTAGGTTCGCGACCCGGACGGAATGGCGATATTCCTACCGCCCATTTAATCTACTTTTTTAGACGAAGTTCAACGTGTTTCAGAAAAATAATAAACTAATAGGAAACATTTTGGAGTTCGGAGTATTAATAGTTGGAATAACATAGGGTCTAGGTTTAATTTAAGTAGCACGATCGATAGTACTTCATATTAATTATTATTGTAACGGGGAATGACCATCGCTGGCCACAAATGGACAACCTAGATAAGACGTTCTCACCGCCGATATCATCACTATTGATCCATAGGGATCAATTAGAGAATAGTGTGCTGTTAGTCATTAAAGTACATGTAAGAGTAAAAAAGAACCGCGAAATGACTCATTCGGACGTATCTCTGCATTGAATATAATTTGAAATCTGTCTAGTCTCGTCCGAAACTGTTTTCTCTCCGCATTTCCAAAGAGATTTCGTGAAAGTACAGAACGTAGCTTTTGAATATCATTGTTGAATCTATTTATTTATTTATCAACGCGTCAGCTGATTTCTGCAAACAGTGAAGTGTTGCACCAAATCTATATTCGTTGGTATATAATACTGTCTGTAGTTTCCGCGAGTAGTACGCATTTAAATAAAACACTTTAACGGGGTAAAACGCGATATATATTGGTTAAACTTCGACTCATCTATTCTTTTATCTGAAGTTAAATTACTTTCTCCCGTTCGCTCCACTTCCAGACGCACAACCCAAAAACTTTACACTCCCCTCTGTCGAACCAATTACCGCCTTCAGTCCTTCTTCCCTAGAACTACGACACTTTTTAACTCCATGACCTCTAGTGACCTTGATCTCTTTACTCTAAAGAAAAACGCATTTAAAAGCATCGTACAGAACTCTTTTTTTAACGAATCTGGTTGAAACTTGCACCCAAACTTGTACTGTGTTGTTGTTTTTTTTTGTTTTCCTCTTTTAACTCTAATTGTATATAGGATCTCCTTTAAGTGTAAAATTGTACTTTTCGTTCTATAAGTGAAAACTTCCCCTAGCTTTACTATTCTACCTTCCTGTTCTAAATTATTTATAACTATTAGCTGTTAAGTTTTCCTAATATTATTAAAATAAAATAAAATAAACTTATTTGAAAATTATTTTAACCACTTACCACGCCGATGCTTTGAAGTAGACGTGACCACGATTGCTGCACTGCATCCGATACGTCGGGTCGTGGTTAAAATAATTTTCAAATAAGTTTAACTAATATATATCGCGTTTTAAACCGTTAGTGTTTTATTTAAATACAAATTTAGGTATATATAATATAGGATGTGTATAGATAGATATGAATGTACGACTTATTTGTGAGGAGTTGTTAATGTAGTTAGTAACATGGATAATAATATTTAAATAAAACACTTTAACGTCGGGCCGAAGTTAAGCATCATTTCCAAATAAGTTTAACTAATATATCGCGTTTTATTTAAATGTGTACTACTCGCGTAAACTATAGACAGTATTTAATATTATATTTCCCTATCCTAGTAAATTCGTCACCGATCAATTAAATATACGTATCACCTAAGCATTCAATTCTCAATGCAAATTATTTATTGAACAGATTCGATTCCCATTTTCCCCACCAACGTGTGGATGACGCGGTGGAGGTGTTTCAAATCGTTACTTGTCGCGTTCATCCAAACATCTCGAAATGAAACTTACCGAGTCTGTTCCTCAACTCTGAAGGCTTCAAGGCCGGTTCCTCCAGCACGACGGGAGGCGGAGGGGGCGGCGGCGGAGGCGGTGCCTCATCACCGGAGCTGCCCCCGGACGAGACTCCCGAAGACGCAGACGCTTGGACCACCACCGTGTCCTCGGACACCGACGCGCGACGACTTCCCGCCGCCGACGAGAGACGGCTCGCCTGCACATGGAGGGTACGAGAAACCTTTAATGATGGTGTGAGGATACCTCCTCCAGGATGGTGATTACATATAACAAATAAAGTTAATTTAAATGCAAATTAAAATGCCGATAATTATATGTAAATTGTTTCAATAGCCCCAACAGGAAATGGGAAACAAATTAATTAGGCCAAAAGTGGTAGAAAAAGACAGATGCTCAATGTTTATTTTTCGCTTTATATTCTTCGATAATAACTAGACACATTATAATTTGTGTTTTCCAAATAAACGTAATCGTTCGACCCGATGACCTTGAACTGCGACGTACTCACGAGCGGCGCAATCGTTTGCAGTGATAATAATAACAGGCACCTACCGAAAAATAATAGGTATCTTTGATAGTTATATTTTTTAAGATTCATAACGATGAAACCGCAAAAAAATCTTTTTTACTTTGGAATAATCACTGTTATAAAATCTTACCGAAGCGATAATTAGTATCGAGTCACAGTGTGATTGTCGCCCATCACTATTTGTAATCGGCTTGAGGTTAAAAACGCAATGACTCTATTCCGATGGTAATTAGCGATCGGTGTTCAGTCGAAACGAGACGTGCAAAATGAGCGGGGCGGGCAAAGTGACGAAAACGATAATATCTTCGGCGCAGGTGTACGCTCCCGTGGGCCCTTACAGCCAGGCGGTGCTGGCGAACGGCACGCTCTACGTGTCTGGAGTTCTCGGGGCGACGCCGGAGCCCAAGCTGGTGGCGGGAGGAGCGGCCGCGCAAGCTAAGCGAGCTTTAGAGAATCTCAAGCTGATCGTGGAAGCCGGAGGCTCGTCGCTCGCAGGCGTCGTGAAGACCACAATACTGCTGGCGAATTTCGACGATTTTCAAGCGGTGAACGCTGTGTACGCAGAGTTTTTCCCTAGAAATGCCCCCGCGCGAGCGACGTATCAGGTGAGCAAATTGCCCATGGGCGCTGCAGTGGAGATCGAGGCGGTCGCTTTGAGTGGACAGTTGGAGATTAAGGAAGGGCTGTGAAGATCCTAATCGTCTGATATTTCATCTCGTAAGAGTAGGCATAAGATAGAATAACCTTGAATTTTGCTTTTATCGTCTGTTTAATTATTATGATAAAAATATGTTGAAGACATAATTAAATACTTGGAATATCTTTAAAATGCGTTTCATTTTCCACTCGCAAAAAAAATTAATAAAGTCTGACTATTATTAAGTCTTGTCTAATTTAAAAAACCGAAAATAAATTGAAAAAAAATTCGACTCAGGCAGGACTTGAACCGGCATCGTCAGCTTTCCGTGCTGTTGCTCTACCAATTGAGCTACCGAGTCTTGTCTGTTTTTTTTTCAAATTGGGTACAAACGAAGTAAAAATGTGATAACCGATGGGGTTATAAGGATTTCATTATTAGTGTTGAACGAAACCACATAATATCATGAATTTATTTAGTTTTTTTTTTACTTTTTCTATTAAAACTCAAAATCACCCTTTTAGTAAGGGTAAGTAAGTAAAATAATAAATAATATTCCTATTCCTTGTTGTTAAGTTAAATACTTACAAAATTGTGTGCTTTATGCGTGAGGGCTGCCAATTTAGTGGCGATGGTTGACTTGGTTTGAGTCTCCGAAGGTGGTGGAGATACTTCTTCATAATTTTTGTTTGATCTGTGAAAAAATCTCAATATTGATACTGATCAAGAAGATTCAGATGTTTTTAAAATTCGTACAATTTCACTAAGAAATATCAAAAACATGCAATATCCAATCTCAATAAAGCGTGGCCTAAAATCTTGGTACCCGGTACTCTTATTTGAAGCACTAACTTCCACAAGCCACCCTAAAAAGCAAGATTACAGTAAATTCTGCAAAAGCTAGTTTAAAATAGCAATAAGTTAAAAAGATGGCGCTAGCGTACGTAGATTATTAATGCTCTTTAGTCGCCCCCCGTGACGACGGTTGCTATAAAGTATCCGAAAAGTAAGTTATGATTAAAAAGTAAACTATTATGTTTTACACAAGGTTCTTTACATTATTATATTTATTTTAAAGACAATACAGTGCATGTTTGACGACCGTCGGCAGTCTTTCACATTTACAAGCCCGATCTGAACTAAAGCTACTCACGATTCGTTGGCAGTATCCTTGTCCTCGTAGTCCACCACCAGCGCCGCACTCCCTGGCCTGCTGTGGCTGCCCGAGTCGCGAGAGCTGCTCCTAAGGGCGGAGTTATAAATTTGAGACCTTTCAAAACCCTTCATGTGGTTACGATTGCTGGCAAATACCCACCTTCTCCTCTGGTGTTCCTCCCTCGCCAGATATATATCTTCGTAGTGGTGATCACGCCTCGTCGCTTCTGCTCCACTGTCGCTGTCCGAATGCTCTGGCGCTGTCGTCGCCTCTTTGATGCCATGAATTTCTGCTTTTACTAAAAACAAAATGCATATATGCAAAGTGTGTGGGTAGCTTTAAGTAGAACTTATATCAGAATGATTGAGAACAACTTTCATAGTAGTAGACTACTATGAAAGTTGACTACTCGTGTTCTACCTGTCATGGTGGGCGCCTCTTGGCCTTCAGCGGGCACCCTCGGACCCGGTGAACGCGTCTGGAAAAGGTCCCTCACCCTTTGATACAAGGCTGCCGGAGCCCCTGAAGTATTGTTGGATCCGTGAAGGAACCAGCCTCCCGAGTTAGTCGTGTCGGGCTCCGATGCTGAACATGCTGGATAAAAACAAGTGTTTCTTTATTGATATTGTGCTACTTTTACACATGTATTATACAAAACCTAACTTATATATTATACAAATTTTTTTCATAGGCCCGCGTACCGTTTGCGACAATTTAAATCAACTAAATAAAAAAAAGGCTCACTTCGAAAAAGTATTTCTTAAAAACTTTATACATTTGTGTCGTCAAAGAATTCATAAGACATCAGCATACCCGAACTCTCTTCCCCCGACGAACTGTTCTGCGTGACCGCAGTCGTTCTCTGCATGGGGTTGACATATAATCCGTCGGCCGGGCCAGATCTGGCCGAGCTTATTGACCCGACGGTGGACGAGACGGACCCTCGGCGCTCCCGGGTGGACGAACACCTTTGCTCCGGTCCATGTAGATAAAATGGGGACCGGTCGTTTGCGTTTACACAATTTGACAGAGCGCACTGCAATTACGAAAATGTGTTTAAGATTTTGTGTCTTACGGGAGCTCTCCTTTGAATGGAAACCTTAAACGGTTCGGGACTCACTCTCGTTTCTCCAGGGGTGCAGGCGCAAGAGTGGACAGCCTTGTACGATGAGAGTTGCTTGTTGTCGCCGGCGGCACCGGCCGCAACCAAAACGTTTAAACACTGCAATAGGATATATTTTATTATTCAACAGAAATTTTCTCGTCCAACATACGTACCACGTTGGCACAGAACAGAATTTACCGAGAACGCTCATAAAATACTTCTTATCTAGCTTTAAGACAGTTATCGAATTAAGTATAACGTTATAACGAGTATCGAGTATAACGGATATCGTGTCAGTATTATGTTTCGCATTTTCTAACGGATCATTTGCGTAAAATATTACGCATTAAATGAAGCACGAAAACGTATCATTATCTCCGCGAACGAGGAAGAACGCTTCGAGCACAGTCACGCGTTCCATTGTCTCGTTACCTAATCGACCGACTCGTTTATTAACATTTGAGAAGGTCGTCGTCATAAGGGCAAAGCACTAGACAGCTTTACGCTGCTTCCAAATCGTGCGCGCGCGGACTGGGGACTCATCCGTGTTAGGTACTATTCGACTATTACTAAGGCTTTGTACTCTCGTCGGCTGAAATCAGGACTAGCGCAATGACCGATTGAGTTTCATAAAAGACAAGCCACTGATACTAAATTCTAAGACGGCAGTAATCGTCTGTGTGAACTTTAAATCGAAGAAAAATCATACTCAAACTTACCACTCTACTTGTCTTTTGATTTACATACAAACACGACTTATGTAAGCGCGAATCGTAGTCGACAGAGACACGCATTCTTTATAAGGCTCTATCATTAAAGAGAAACTCAAACAGCAATAACTAATCAAAAATGATCTACGTTTCGAAAAACTGTTTCCGCAAAGCCGAGTCATTTTATTTCTATTATTAATATACTGCTTAATGCGTTTAAAAAATAAGCCACACAGAGGAAAAAATATTTTAGTTTTTCGATTTTAGACAATTTAGGAATAGAGGTATGATAGAATAAAGTATGACGAGATAAATTAGTTTTGACCCATGATCGGCGGTTGTCGCTCGCGAGGGGGGGCGAGGGGGGGCGAAGAATACGTGAACGCGATCAAAGAGCGATACACTTTCATCTCCATTGTTTGTTTGTATGGAAAGTGAATTAAACATCCAGAATTACTCCAGCTTTATTCAACAAGCTCTTTGTATTTGATTAAGTATGGGAAACATGTCACGAATATGAATAGGGTATTATCCATTATAAGAACCGAGTTATTTTTTTATTTCGCTATGTTTCATCCGGCGCATGCCCAGAACTTCGATCGGCGATTGCCTTGCGTTTAATTACACATTAGCTATATGGTTACGAAATATGTCAATTTACAATTTCAATGAGACACAATTTAAAGATGTGCGCACGTCTTACCTCCAAATGATGATTCTCGGCAGCATCGTTGATAGGGCTCTTCCCGTGTCTGTCCAAGTGGAGCCTCGCCCCGTGGCGCAGCAGCCAGCGAACCGTCGTCAAGTGGCCTCGGGAAGCAGCAAAGTGCAGCGGCGTGGCCCCGTCGCCGTCTCTCGCGTTGGGGTCGACGCCGCGCTCCACGATCTAGAATGGAGACAAGGAATGCCTGTAATACCGCCGCCGTCGACATTAATTTCCGTCAGTTCCTATGAAAGTTGTGAGGCCAATCATAATAATATATTAGTGCGTGACTGTACGTTCGAGATACGCGTAATTATAGGGAGGAAGTCTGAAAGAGACGAGCGTGGAAAGCGTGTAATACTCGTATGTCCGTTGCGCAAGTGTATGTTAGAAAAATGCTTTGTCAACGTCAATCAATCGACAAGAGACCGGCGTCTCTAATAGAATAGCTTCGTTGCGACTTGCCACGTATTAATTAATAAAATTGAACGCAAGACTCTAATTTAAATAAAACACTCGAACGGTTTAAATCACGAAGTATATTGTTGTGTTATGTTTTATTTAAATGTGTACTACTTGCGTCAACAACGGACAGTATTTAAGCAAAACAAACTGTAGACACTGTGCGCATCTTAAAAGCTAATAAAGGAAACGATGTCCCACACCACTAAAAGAAGAAAGCAGAGAAAAAGACTCAGAAGTTGCCCATAACATTGACTCGTAACGCATAACGCGTGGTTCGCCGTCACGACATCGATTTCCTACATCCATATCGCATCGAACTGCTTCATAATCTATCGAATACTTATGCAACGTGGAATAATGATTTAGTCGCGACCACTTTCTTTGTCTTCTCATATCGCTTATGAAAAAAGGAAACTTACGACAGTCGTATTCTACAATCTCGCGTTACATCACTTTGGCTATTAAGCTAAACGACAGGTTTTTACGAGAACGATCCGAGAATTAATCGCTCTCGATCGTAGTTTGCATAATTCGATTCGTGTTGAATTTCTCAAAATAACACTCTCACTATTATATATTGGAGTATTATATCAATAACATATTAAAAATGTCGCAATACAACTTACTTACTTACGTATTATTTTCAATAAACGTACCACGATACCACATTATACATAAGTACCACTACAATAGTGCATGGGGTTGGGATTAACGGCGCACCTAATTTGGCTTACACGCATTCTATACTGTTACTGACTAAGACACAATTGGCAGGCGCAGATTAAATAATTACTCGTCCACGGATAGCGCGCGCCGATGTAATTCGGCCGTTATTTACTCGACTACCCTCATACGGGCTATTTATTTTTCTTTTTTCCTTGTATTAATTTGAATAAGAAGTTAGCACCCAATGGATTTTTTGTCTAAAACAATTATATGAAAGATTTAATTTCATATGATATTATTATTTTTGTTTTCTTTAGCGGAATCTAAAAAAAATTTTCGCTCACCATCCATTTGACGCAGTCCAAGCAGCCGGTCTGCGCCGCCGCATGTATGGGCAGCATGCCATCCCGAGCTCGGGCGTCCAACCTTCCCCCGGCCTCGAGGACCAGGTATTTGAGTACAGCTAAGTGACCCTCCTGTGCCGCTAGGTAGACTGGTGTGACATCATTGTCCATAGCCGTATTCGCGCTGGAATACAATTTTATAGGAATTACTTTCCATGAATTATTTGTGATTAATATTTTGTTGATTAATTATCATTAACTTTCTTCTTTATCCAAAACAGATAGATTATTTATTAAAAATAGTTAGTGCAATGACTGCACGGACTGAATAGTAAATATGGCTCTCTCCCAGTTTACTTTTTTACAGTTTTCTGCTTCTAATAATTTTGTCGGTGTTAGAATACATGTCATTTTATTCGAGAACAGTAGACGACTGCAAGCGATATAATCCATTTCTTGAGCTAATAAAAGATTAGTATTACGATTGAAGAACCGAATGTTGTAACTGACCTCCTGACACCGACGTAATACTCGTACAAGAGAAAACGAGTCGGATAAAAGTGAAACGTGAGATTTGGTTAACGGTACCGCGCGGAGCAGACGATTCGGCGTTACGTGTGTGATGTAACGCGGCGGTTATTACGATAACGGTGGCCGCTTTGATCAGAATCATTCTGTGGCACAAATGTGGCTTTTACATTGACAGGAAAATATATTATTTAATTCTTGAATACAGCAACATTTCTTGAAAGTTATTCGACTAGAACTCGATAGAAGAACGCTCACACGAGATCTATCTTTTTATTTGTTTTCGTAAGATGCTAAAATTCATGCTTTTCCCGAGAACTTCAAAGTGAAATACACAATACATAATTAAAGATTATGACGTTAATAAATATTGCGTGTCGATTGTAGGTAGATGTGCTTTATATTTTTTAACTCATCCGTTAGTCTATAAAAATGTAAAATTATGCTCGATGTTCTGGAAATATATTTCTACTTTTATAATTTGCGTGTACAGATATATTTTTTTGTATTAATTACGACATCTAATAGGCACCGTATCGAAACCGTATGACACGACAGATAGCAATAACGACGAACATATTAATATTTAGTATTAGCACGCTTCAACTTTAAAAACCATAACATTTCTAAGTCAAGGAGAGAAAGAGAACGGACTAGGTATTTACAGCTGAGGACTCTAGATTTTTTTGCCTAAGTACATTAATATTTATAATATTATGTATAGGTAATAACGTATAATATAAACGTAAATAAAAGTATTGAGAATACACGGGGAAAGTTACCGTCATATCCCATTAAAAATTCAGATAAAAAACCAGATTTACTATATGTATAAACATATATGTTAATACTGAGTGGTAAAACATAATTATTGTATGCATTAGGCAGAATCTATCTCAGTTTTATGCAAATAGCGAAAGTTAAAAATTAAAAACATGGCATTCCATTTAATTGTTGCTACAAAATGACGAATTGGTGTGATTTTAGAAATATTTGGTCGTTACGAAATACTTAGGTCAGCTTAAGAAGCATTATTTATGATGATGAGCAGGATCATTTTAAACTGTTATTTAGCTAAATGCACTACATTCTACCCGCATTTGGATAGCCCTTTACACCCACCCTCGCAGTTTGAGCTGAGTGTTAAAGGGAAAAATAACTTACATAAGTGTAGTCGATAGAAGTTAATAATAATAAGCGAAACTAATTACCGTTCTCTTCCCGCGTAAGTTCCAGCTCTCGTCTTATAATATTTCTTACTCTTTTTATTCTTCTTACCGAAGAACTTACTCGTCACCCGATCGTGAGGCGGGTGGGTATTATTTTGCGTCATTTTTCCCGCTTAAACAACATTCAAACCGTCACTTAAACTCTTAATGACACTCGCATTTTGCTTAACAAAACGCGCGTCAATAATGCGACACATTCAAATTCGGAACCGACCGAGACCCGACGCAAACCACACGTGCGCGAGCGCACCTCGTTCGCGGTAAACTGACTGATCGAACTTGCGAACACGTTTTCTCGACGAAAGTGCATTTTCACAGCAGTTTAACGACTTAAGCTCGTCGAATGTTTACGAGTATAGATAAAGCGTAACGCGAATAAAGACGTTACTAAGTAGTTACTATGACAGGCTACGAGACAGTTTCAAGTTAAAAAAATAAAAAGTTTGGACTGCCTTCGCTTAAGCAAAACAGCTTAAGTTGCATAAATTAATTACGAAACATGTCCTTTAAATATATATTATGGAGTTGAAACTCAAACTCAAACGGTAATTTTCAATCAATAGCCACCATCGAACGGTTTCAAAATATATGAAGTACCGGCAAAATGTACGTTTCGGCCGATGTAATTGGAATTACGTAGCGCGAGTGCGGCCGCTGTGTCAAGTCAAAAGCTACGAGCTTATTAACGCCTTTATGGCCCCGGTACGTGCGGCTTTTACGTATGTTAGTTACAAAACTACACTGCTTTAAAACAACATATCGATCGTATCTAAACCCCATTAAATATTATATAGAGTACCACCGTACTTAATGGATCGCTTCAGCTCAACGCTCGGGCTCGGCAGTTTCTCCACCGCATCGGCCGAACGTGATGTGGCTATTTCCGATACTTTCGCCAATTCAATGGGCACTTGTAAGACGTTACAAATAAAATCTATTACTCAATATTTATTTGTATTTTAACACTAAAACGGTGACTATTAGGAGTCGAATTAATTACAAATTTGTTAAAAACCTAAAGAATTTTATAGACAAACCTTGGTAGAATATTGAAATAACGGTAAGAAATTACCATTATTAAACTACACGTACTCATCACGTAGGATGGATTCCTCAATAAAAGAGAGCGTCTCAGTATAAATATTACCAATATAAATACAACTTATCCGTACTCAGATGTTAAACAAATACAATGTCGAAAGGAGAAAACGGCAACGAAATACCACAAAACAATGTCTGCCTATGGACACAGTGGCAATAATTGTCTTCCCACCCTTTCTACTAGACGAGAGAAGGCGCTAAAAAGACATTGTTCTTTGCTGTCAATAAAAAGTGTAAAGCACATCAATGTTCACATTATTTCAATAATTTATGTCACTCTCCTGTAAAATGAGGTAAGCATTAGGCGCGCCGTCTCCACCTTCGGGCTTCGGGCGCTCGGCGTAACTCACGACGCAGGAAAACAAAACACATGCAGTGGCAAAAGAAAAACCCTCGGAAAGAAACACGTAAAAGTAGGAAATAGCTCATAAAGCGTTCGAATGTGCAAATAATTAATTATAAAGCGGCTCCATGCCTTTCAGATCGGAACGCGCGCGTCGCATACCGTTGCGTTGCGTTTTTCCATTTTACTTATTAGTCAATAGCCTCCGCAGACGTCCCAATTCATTGGGTTTGTATTGGTGTTAATTTCCTTGCACTCATAATGTTCTCGAGCGGTTACGACACGAACTCGCGAGTACCTGGCGGCTTCGATTGCATACCCGCGAAGAAAACGCCTTCAGAGAAGAAACAATTAGGGAATACACGGATGCTCGAGATTCGTCGGATAATCTATATTTGCTGAATGTGTCGAAAGCGGGGCTCCGAAGCGAAACCGATTCAGTTAGCCCGCGTTAATTGCACCTCGGGTGGCGGTAACCGGGGAACGCGGTCACTCGTCGACGCGAGATGATAAGTAAATACGTGTAATGCGAAAATGATTGCTTTAATAAGATAACGTTTTCACATCGAGGTCATAAATATTACGGGGTTTCTGGAACTGCTGCGATATCGTGACATTAATCTTTATCCAATAAATAAAGCTGGCGTGTTTGCCTGCTTCTCAATTTTAGTTGCAGTTAATACGTACCTGACCGTACTCGCGGGGATCGTTTTAGAGTACTTCAATCGCGCAGATGAAGCCCGCAGAGGGCGCTCGCGGCGAGGGCACGTCGCCATTTTTCTTTCAAAACATTACAGCAGAACACGCCTCGCAGTTGTTTTAGCACAATTGTTAAAATGAAACTTTTCTTTAAAAAGTTATTAGATTAACTGAGTTTCACTGGAAATTACTAAAATTCAATTGTCGACTTGTTATTCTCTACATTCCTATTTAAATATTCAATAATTAATTCGAGCGAAACGCGAGAAACATAGGTGCACCATTTAGTAACAGTTATTTCTTGGCTAAAAGCAATAATTTTCTTTTCTCATCGGACAGTTAAGCGGCCGATTCTCAGCTGAATTACTGCGAGGAAGTGATGCGATGCATTTCAGCACGCTTCTATGTTCTTCGGCGTTCACCGATGACCATCGTTTCGGAATTCTAAGGCACGGGAGACTCTCAGCGACGCCTAGTTATAATTAAATTTAATTGAGAGATTTACTTAATAAAGATCTGTCCCATGTATGTCTTTCAAAGAGGTCGTCAATATCGTAATGAAAAATAAAACAAAAGTACAGAAACGCCTACAACACTCCAAACGCTTAACGAATAATCTAACCGCTTTGAATGAGAAGGCCTTAGAAAACTCTACTAAATAAATGGAAAGTAAGATTAACTGAATTTTAATTTCTTTTATGAAAAAAATTAACAATTTTATTTAACAGGCAAAACAATATTAAGTACGAACGACGAATATAGCTTTAACCTATATTATTAGCGAACAATTCAAATATAAAACAATTGAGCATTGTTTACTGCACTTGACATCATTTCTTTGATCTTGAGCTTCACTTTACAAATTATTAAATACTGTCTATAGTTTACGCGAGTAGTAAACATTTAAATAAAACATTTTAACGGTTTAAAACGCTATATATTAGTTAACACACAGTCTCGCCACGGCTGCTGCAAAGCATCCGAAACGTCGGGCCGAAGTTAAAAAAACATTTTCAAATAAGTTTAAATGGCGTTTAAAACCGTTAGTGTTTTATTTAAATTCACTAATTATTGTTTAAACATATTACTCCTCGGTACCGAGTTTAGGTTATTAATTATAATTACCTACTATATTTTAACATGTTTTATTTTGTATATATCATTCTAAGTATCTATGTCCTTATGTCTATGTTTGTGCAATAAAGAGTTTTTATTATTATATTGAATGAAAAAAAAAACGACGCACGATATACCTATAATCGTTTAACCACTGTTATGTAAAACACTGAAGCTAAAAAGCAAAATAAACTAAATGCGGGTAGAAAAAAAATCAGTTCGATCGCGGCACACTCAGGCGATTGCACTCAACGCGAGCGCAAGCAGAGTCACATCTCACTTGACTAGTGCATTTCTGGGTTCCAGTAAGCATCGATTACGCTACTTGGCACCGTGACGAGCGGAGCGACACGCAGAAGCGACAGCGGGAATATAACTGAATGATTTTAAGCCACACTTTTGATCAGCTACAGAACATTTTTTTTTCATGATAGAGGAGGGCAGACCAGCATGGGGTTCACTCGATGGTCGGTGAAATACGCCGGCTTTTTAACATCTAAACTAGATGCTGTCGACCTATTTTGGCTTTGAATATTTGTTTGGATATTCTTAGGATTGTTTGAAGCTTAAGTCGATGATGTCCTTTTACCCTATGGATCTTCGGGCCCAATAAGACGTACGAAAGCAGGTTCAACAGCCCTTTGTTTAAGTCTGTCCTTCTATGGATATTAGCCTCCCTCGTCTTCAACCCACAGGCTCTTCATTCTACTTACAAAAGCCCTAAGTACGAAATAAATAAAATGATGTCTAGTTTGTTGGACTGTATGATTATGTTTAAGCTCGGTTAGCTACAACAAGGAATTTGAGAAGTAGGTTTTATAGCATATCATTGTCTTTCGGGCTGTTCGGCCGACGTGAGCGAGTAGAGGTTCTCGGGGGTTCGCCATCACGTGTGGACGACATCATCAGGAGATGTTAACTCCTCGATTACTCGAAAAATTAATTCAGCCCGAAAGACAAGGATATGCTGAGCGATGACCGCGAAAGCCTTACACAATTTCGTAGGTTTTTAATCTTTAAAATGATGTAAAACAAATCGCTTCGCGTAACGATAGCGTCGGACCTCAAATTGAGCACACCACCCAATTACTTGTGTTAATACTGTCCGATTATGCATAATGTTTTGTTCTCTCCGCGGGTAATGTGTCGTGAACGGTGTAGTCTTTGTCGCTTAAAGATTGGCTTCGCAAATTAGTCATCGATTTATTAAGGTTCTTGTATTGTATGTATAATGTGGTCTTGTTGATGACGACGGTGCAGAACTTTGTAACCATGCATATTAATTGAATTTCGTTCAACAAAAGCTAATTGTAAACGTATTTTCAGATATTTTTGCCCCTATGCTACATACTGTCGTCCATTACAAATTGATTAATCGATTAGTGAGTTAGTAAATGGCAATAATGTAACGATTACGTTGATTATAAAGTTTAAAAGGAAATAACACAGTAGCGATCGCATATAATGATGTAGTCCCATAATACGCTCGACTCAGTCTTGACTTCTTACTATTTATATTGTTTTGCCTACCGAGTGTGAAGATCTGTGGCAACGATAAGCTCAATTAATTCGGTAAGAAACGCTTTCACCTCGCAATTATTTAAGATCTTTATAAAGACGACTCGTGCGCAGTTACCCGTTTTATACACATGTCCATGCCATAATGCTACGTTATTTCCCATTTTTACACCTCATTGTATTTGTTAGATTACACGAGTCTGAGCGAGAACTTTAAATGCGCCACGAATTTGAGTTACATTGAAGAGTCCTCATGAAACAAAAGCGAGTCAGTCGACGAGTCTTTGAGAAAAATTATGACGACTAACGGATCGTCGGTCCATTGGTAGCGATGTATGGCTAGAAGTTCGATTCCCACCGAGTCCGACATTTCTCGAAATCAATTTATAATTTTACTTAAAACGCATTGGACTTCTTATAGAAAATTTGGATGTAAATTAAATAGGTAGGATTGTCGAATAAAATGTATAGAGATTAGCTATAGGTAGATTAGATTTTGTGTTTATAAATATTTATCGGGTCCGTACGATTTGCAACATATTACTACAGTTACCGCCCGTTAGTTATCGTGACTGGACAGTTATTACGCGAGTAAACAAAAACGCATCTAGTCTACAATGTTTCTCGTGCCTTCTTTTGCTTCGGGGCGGTATTGCGATTTGTAATTTTAATCTATGCGCTCTAATTTGCTCCACAGACTGACACTGAATCGCGATGAACCTTTACGGCATTTTATCTGTGGCCGTTGGTTTCCTATTACGCGTCGGAAAAATTATAAATTACTTTATAATGTAAGACTCGGTGGGGACTCTGAACGGGTGACCCTTCAATAGTTATATATTAGCCATACAATGCTGAACCACTGAATGAGCCATGATACATGAAAGGGCCAGTGTGTGATACTTAAGTAACATTTAAGATAATATATACTTTGCAAAATGTTAAATAATAACGTGACTTTTCTGGCACTGTTTTTGCATAAAGAAGTCAGCGATACACGTTCGGTCGGGAACATTGGGCAATGACTGCGGTGCAATGTGCAGACGTTATTTTAGCGCTAGTGTGAACCATAATATGAAGTTGGAACACCGCTCGATAAAAAAGCGTCGCGACTTTAAAGCGCTACGTGAGAATGTGCTGTAAGGATACTCACGACACATCTGGCGTAGTGTTGGCGAGGAGGCGAACGCAGTCGAGGCAGCCCCTCGCGGCGGCGTAGTGCAGGGCCAGCGCGCCGTTGTTGGCCCGGCCGCCTGGCATTGCGCGTCCGCACCACCAACCCTCCACAGCTAGTCGACCGCTCCTGCAAACGGCAAATTGTGCGCTAGTAATAAGTTTGTACTCAAATAATACACGATTATAATATTTATAATTTCTTTTGCTCTATCTATGAATTTAATAACAGACAGAGCGAAATAGCGTTTAATAAAACGCCATCTATACTGCGGTAATAAGAACTAACGAAGCGTGAAGAAAGTATTTTAATGTTGTATCATTAGTACCTATACTCGCCGATAGATGTCGGTAAATCACACGCGTTTTGAATCCGTTATTTTAAATAAAATTAATCTCAATATTTTAAAAATATAAAGTCTAATAAAATTGGTAGGAAAATATACCAAACATACCTTTTGCGCGAGACCAAATTTTCAATATGTTCCAAAGAAATCTATACTCTATCTATCTATCTATACTAATATATAAACCTGAAGAGTTTATTTGTTTGTTTGTTTGAACGCGCTAATCTCAGGAACTACGGGTTCGAATTGAAAAAAATAGTTTTGTGTTGGTTAGATCATTTATTGAGCAAGGCTATAGAACATCGCTCTGTGACTAATAGAAGCGAAGTTACAGCGTGAAAAGTGAACAAAACGGGGGAAATTTTTCACCTCTGTGCGCTGCGAAAACGGTTCAAGATAACTAAAAAATGTGTATGAAAGAATTATTTCTCTTTAAATAATCTAAAAAAAATCCGCGACGCTATATGTCTATCTTTTAAGGTTAACTTGCAAGAACGAAGGGAAGGGACGCGATCGACGTCTTAGCTTAGAGCTTAAGTTTATAAAGATGACGGGGTTTGCAAAAACTAATTTGGATGTTCAAAATAACACTTCTCGCGGACGAAGTCGCTGGCATAGCTAGTACTAATATATAAAGCTGGAAAGTTTGTTTGAACGCGCTAATCTCAGGAACTGATGACTCGATTTAAAAAAAATATTTTTGTGTTGATTAGAGCATTTATCGAGGAAGGCTATAAAACATTGTTACACGTTGTGACGAATAGGAGTGAAGAAACAGCGGGAAATGGGGAAAATTATTTATGCCTGGGGGTTTCTATTGCGTACGATGCGAAACCAGTTCTAGATACCTAAAAATATGTATGAAATAATGAAAGTCCACGGCACTATATGTCTATCTTTTAAGGTTAACTTGAAAGAACGAAGGGACGCGGATGAACACGTGGGTAAAAGGTTAAATTTGTAGAATTAAACAGGAGGTTTGCAAAAACAGACTTAAATTCTACGCGAAGTCGCTGACTCAGCTAGAAATATTTAAAAATATGAGATCTAAATATTTTAAATTATTATTAAACCAAACTTAATAAAACCTTTATTACTGTTACCACGTAATATTTGCTAATTATGATTAACAATAATAACAGAACAATCGATTATCGTAGCTGCTTTGCGTAGAGGGCGCTACGACTGAGGTGTGACTTTTGTAATCCATCTTAGTCATTTGTATCTCAACGGAGGCTAAATGTCGCATTACAACATATATGAAATGATATGTAACACGTTCATACAATATTAATGCGTCGAGCCTAATTGCACAGACGATATAATGTAGACATTGATGCAACAGTCGTGATGTTTACTTACGGGTTAAAGAGTTTATAATATCCTATTTTATTTAAGTTCGCTATTTGCGACACGTACGAGCGAGTAGTTTAAGTAAGTTTTAATGACGCTCCACGTCTAGTTTGCATTTAAATACCAAATATATATTATGTTTCTAATGTTGCACGTCAAGGTTTTACGTTGATGTCATGTAAACAATATGAAAGAAAATATGTCCAAGGCGGTCCCATGATGATGATGAATTGCTTTTAAGGTTTTGTGTACTCGAAGCGCACTTCGGCAAATCAATTTGGGATTATGATATTAGTGGAGTATGGTCAATTCTAACTTTGTCATGGAAACGGCATAAACGTCACGCTGTCCACTCATATATCCGGAGTCAGTCCCACCTGATACACAACGAGTGACCTCTAAACTGATCAACGTCACTTCGTAAACAATGATGCGCCGACGAATACCAACCTAAAATTTCCGGCGCGTAACGCTACATCCAAAGTGTCGAGGTCTTCCTCGTAGTTGTGGCAGAGGTCCATAGTCGTGTTCCTGGCTTCGTGCACGTCGAAGAGAACGGTGCCGTCGTTGGTCTTGTCCGTCATGACGCTCCGGTAGGACCTCGTCCCGAAGCTCGAAGTGACGGACGCTCCTCGCGGAAAGCGGCGCGGCGGCACCGACACGTTCTGCAACGCGTTGCGGTACCTCCTCCTGATGTATCTTCGCATCCTCAGAGACAGCATCACGCGGATGCGAATGTGCCGCTTTATGTTCCTGTCGTAGCGCAGCTGCTCTTTGGTCCTGCGACTCCGCCTCTTCCGCTTCGGCACTTCGTCGATGCGTTCCAAAGTCCTATCTGCGACGGTTGTGGAGCGAAAAAAGTCCACGTTATTGTTCTTCCACGACTTACTCAGCGACCAATTCTCTCCGTACGTGGAGTTCTGGGCCGGGATGGGCTTCTCATACAAGTCTTCGTCCAGCGCGACCATTCGTCGCGATATCAAGAAGTTGTCGATGTTCCTCCGCATGGTACTGTTTTGCGAACTGATCGTCGTGTTTATCAAGTCCGATGTCAGCGTCTCCGTCTTCTCGCTCTTTGGCTGCTCCGTGACGTTTCTCTTGCGTTTCGCGATGGTCATGATGCGCCGGCGCATGGCGGACATGTTGGTGAGTTCGCTCTTGAGGAAGGGGCCCTTCTTGTCCGCGGTCATGTCGGGGGACCACGCGGCGTTCTCGGAGCAACTGCAGAAGTCCCTCAAAATCCGGCCGAGGACGCTGCAGCTGCTTTCTTTGGGCCTCTCCTTGGCCATCTTTCCATAGCTCAGTGGTGGCTCGCGACTTCGAGTGGTTGCCTTCAACTGTAGACTCGCTCTGGCGAAACGTCGCGCACGCGGCGCAGATGCGACTGAGGTAAGTTATGAGAGGTAAGTGTAATTAGCGGAGTTACATTTAATGTTTCCGTATACTCATTGTTACGTTATATATTACGTAACTTTATCGCTGTGAAAGATCGTGAAACATATTCAAATGGCAGTCGAATCTACAGCCGTCAAAATAGTATTGTTATATTTGTCGATAGTTGAATACACAAAATTGATGTATTTCAAATTTAAACTACAAATTTCAAACATTCATAAATACTAATTACTAATGCAAAAGATGCGCCCATCGTGTATGGTACTGGAAATTGACTTTATCTAATGCAAATGTTCGTACTACAGCGATAAAACGTTATTATGCGCGTAAAAACGCAAAAAATCGCTTTCGTCGTGCGCAAAGGTTTGTTCACATCTAGAATTGATGAACATTTACTTTCTACTCGTAACATGCAAATTCTAATTACTTAATTAATATTGACACTCGCTTAATGCGGTTTCTATATAGTTTACGACGTATATCTGTTTGATATATGACGTACTTAGATGTAAATACACAAGAAAATATACATTAATTTTTGCAATGAACAATCAATCTAGAGTCTATGCTCCAACTTAAATCGCAATAATCCCAATTAAAACATATTTTAACGAATTCAAACGATCGACACGCTAATCGGTACCAATAAACTTGTAATTATAAATCTGTCTCAAGCGAGCGTTTGAATACGAAATGAAAGGCGCGCGTGCGCTATCGAAACGATTCCCAACTTCTTATAGTCATTTTCTACTCCGCTCCGAGCGATTCCCATTGAGGAAAGTCCAACGAAGCGATCGAGCGATCAGAGGACCTCCCGACTTCGACCTCGATAGAGGTAACACGTATTACTCAATCGAAGATTATAACATGGAAAATGTAAATACTCTTATGCAACAAAATGTCACGTTCACTCTCACAGAAAATGTAAATTCACTTTCGGACAAGGTGCCCCGATGCTACCGACGTGGTCGCGAATAAAAATGTCACAAAACTCGGCAACGTAACGTCGCTGGTCGCGACTACGTACAGCTGACCATGTCGAATTGCGCTTGATGAGCGACTGAACGGCCACCGGCCTCACTTTTCTCCCATTCCTACATAATTTGAGGTTATTAGCTTGTTGCGATCCGACATTGTTCACGCTTTTTAACAGTTTGCGTCCTTCCAATTGTTTTCGCGTTCGCCTCTTCGTGAGGCGAAAATTGGCGAAAAGAATAGCTTAGCTTAGATTGGGCCAAAATGATTTTACAGCGAAGCGGCGACTAAAAGCATCAAGTTCAGTAAAGGGCGGATTGTCTAGATAACGCTAAGGATGTCTTCCTTAGCTAGTCACCGATAGTAAATGCCGAGCGTGAAAAATAATAATCTCTCGCGTAGAGCAGTTTAAGCGAGTTTCCGTCCGTGCAAATATAAACAGAAAGTGAAATTCGTCAGAAACTGTCTTATGTAGATTTATTTACATTACGCAATAGATGGAGCAATCCCGCTCTCGGAAATAAAAAATAAATTTGATAGAGATTCATTGAAATTGTTTAAAATCATTTGAATATACAAATTGGCTATTAAATAAAAACTTGTTATTTAACAAGTGAAGGTAATAATAGCCTTCCTGTGCCATCACGTGAAGCCTCGTTCGAAAATGAACGACGTGTGCATATGGAAATGCAAATGTTTTAGAGTCGCTCTAATTGAGATTCAAAAAAGTCGGCAATTAAGATTCACGGTGCTTTATTCGTGAACTTTCCGCTCCAAAACTCTACATCATTTGAATTTAATTTGGTTATTGGGTAAAGTTTCACGAAATACTAATACATTGGTGTTGTGTGCAAAAAAATATTCGTTGGATTCTAGGAACGTGGTGCGATGCTGGAGCGAATCGTGCGACTACGACTTCAAGAATAAATATTTACTATTTACTTATACGTCTATATCACTTATATCTATATTACAAATGATAACAAAATATTAGTTTGATAATAAAAATGAGTAATATGTTAATATCGCTAAAGCCACTCGAGCGCGTCTGAATAAACCGCGCATTCGACTGAGAAGAGTGCGCACGCGCGACCGACGCACAAAAAGTCGCCTCGTTTGGATGTCATGACGACGCGCGACGTTTCGGTGAAATTGTGATGCAATTATATTAATTAATAATAAATTATGTTAGATTGACATTTGATAGACAGACAAGGCATTTTCTTTTGGTCCTTTACCCGACGTAGAGGATTAGTTAACATGTAAAAACTCTTCACTATTATTTCCACATCACAGACGACCTCTTTAATTGAGTTAAGTTCGCTATATGTTTAAAATATAAAAAAAACAAGTAAATTATCATGCAGAAACGTAATAGGTGATGCACCGTTACATGTACGTTGTTTTGGGCAACATTTCATACACATCTTACAAAAATAATAGATAATAAATGACACGCATACGAACATTTGGACACACTGATGGTTCAACAAGCGCGACTCTTTCCGCCGGAAGTTCTCGACCAGCCATATTAAAAACAATGTCACTATTATGTACCACATCACCGTAGTGTCACGACCTTTGCACGAAAACAGAGCAGGACGGATACAGACACTTCGTTTGTATCGAAATACGTGAATTTGAAACAAAAAATACCGTCTTTCTCGGAATCGATATTAAAACAATAACATTGCATTATCTGTAGCACGCGTAGAAAGCGAGAGAGCCGACGTGCGCGTCGCTGCTTTGTTCTTCGATTCTAAGCGATGCATTTCCAGCGGCGGTAGTGTCGCCGAGAAAAGAGCGTAGTGGGTGAATTGTCTTTTTTATTAAGCTCTGATGTACCTACATACACTGCAACTGAAAACTAGAGCACGAAAGCTAAGCGTTTACTAGAGTTTTTCACGTATTGTAGATACGAGTACCGCTCGCGTATCACTGTTCAAATGAAATTATAGTATAGTATAGACACATTGTTGTTAAATTTCCGAAAGTCAATTTATAATACATATAATAGTACATCATTTTCTTTAAAGGAGTCGCATTAATTAGTAAGAATTCACATTACCTAGCCTAGATAACCGATAGTTGACCCATAGTTGGCCAAGTGAAGGTAACACTGAATATCACATATTAACTTATATTATGCGATATTATCAAAATATGAATTTATTTCACTATCAACTTTCTAATATTGAAATGAACATTAACATACAAACACCTCGCGAGGTCCAGAACCCTCACGACAGTGTTAGCCTTATTCGAAAAGGTCTCTGTGCCCGAGTAGTCTGTGCGAGCACTGAAGCGTGATCAGACGGCATCGAGTGGTTCTGCCAGAAATGCCTCTTCGTCCAGCTGCCACTTTCATTTGTTTGCCAGTTCGGCACTTCGCGTTTCGTCGGTGTTCTTCATTTCACTAAAACTAGGCGCACATTGCAACTCCTTTCCTGGTGTTAAACTTTGCTTATTGTTTTCTTTTTATTGATATATTGTAGTATACGTTTCGTAGTGCATAGTTTTATCATAGTAAAAATGATATAGTTTCATTTTCATAAAAAAAACAACTTAGAACAGATTATTGTTGTGAGAGGATAAGACAAATGGAAAGTGGCGCCATCACTCGAGCTATTTGGCAATTAAGAGTAAATGCGAGTGGTTTTATTCATCTTCGCTAGACTGGCATACTCTGTTACAATTACTTTTCGCTGACGACTTTCGATAGATGGTGTCTGTGTTGCATTTGATACAAAAACACGTTATTTTTACTACTTTCAATACGTGTGTTTCTTCGTGAATTCAAAATAATGGCACAAACTTAGAACTTAACTTTTCAGCTCTCTAATCTCATATTAGATCGTACATATTTGAGATTACCGATTACGATCACAAATCTCTACGAAACAATAAGGGAAATCTTCTCTGTGCGTACAGAATACAGAAAACAGTATGGCATCCCTATTTATGTTGCTTAACAACTTTAGATGCTACATAGTATGATTACGAAATATCCGAAAAGCAATTAGATCGTAACGGAAAATGAGTTCTGTAATATTGGAAAAATAAATGTATACAGTTAAGACGCTTTAGAAGGTAAAAGGCGTTTCTTATGTGTCTCAACTGTTCTGTTTGTAATTCTGTGGAACAATTGACCTAAAAACACGCGTATTATTAAATAGACGGTATCGTTCTAATAAGCCAGTGTAACGACTGTGGAAAATCGATTACTTTTCTATTCCTTTTTTACACAACACTGACTTTTTACTTGTCCGTAGGCAGTAGTGATTCTACAGTAACAGAGGCAGTACATTTGGCGTAAATGTTGTCTAATCTTTTTCAAAATGTGTAGTATTTATTTTAATGTTCTTAATCTTAAAGCTTTCGATGAGAATAGATTCATTCGCAAGCAAATTGGAAACATGCGGTCGGCTAATGACAAAACGATTTTCTCGATAGTTCTATCTCACGCCGCGTTATGGCTTATTGAGTTCGTAATAAAGAAGCCTGGCATTGTGGAAACGGTGACAGTGTTGCAATTTCTCTAAAAACAAACGAACTAATATTAACAGTGGAAACTTTCTGAATATTAATCAACAAATCCGAGAGCATAAAAACACAATTAATTCATTACTCGATAACTACTTCTACTCATTGACAGATTCGGCGTAATTCGCTTACTAGCGTAAAAACATCGAACACAAAGGATGGGTTTAATTAGTATTTATTTATTTATTGTTTATTTGGCATTCCTACAGCTACATAGTATACATGGGTTAAACATTAGCCAAAACAGGATTACACAATTAGAAGAAAATACTATGTTATGAGCACGAAAAAGAATATGGTGTAAAATACTTAAGCTGATTATAGAAGATTTACAAACATTTATAATATAGTATGACATACGATATATACACATATATATATGTTCATACACATAATAAACAAATCAAAATCAAGAAAAAAAATAGTACGAGGACTAAATTTAAACAACAAAAATCTACCAATCTACTAATTAAGTGTTTTGTATTTAATATTTACATTATATTTTTATCATCCGTGATGAAAATTATCCGGCTGTGATAGCGTTTAATTTTATTTTTCGTACGCGATCTATTAAGATAAAATATGTCGGGATCACTCATGGATCACTGTAGAATTTAAATACTGGGTAGGCGATGCATAGCCGAGTTATTTAGTTGGATCGAGTATGGAATAGGGCGCAATGCCTCATTTTGTAGGCTGAAGGAAGGCGTATTTTTAAAAGTACAAGCAAGTGCGAGAATCAATTAAGCTATTACATATGGCGTGCAAAAGCATTATGTCGTATTGTTTACGCCTTGCATTATAGATAGTCTATGCTAAAATGCCTGCATGAATCCGTGTAATCAGTGTAAGCTCGGTATCGCTTGAAATATCTTTTGGAAATCAACTAACTTTTCAATGCGATTTAAGTAAAGTGGAGACCAAACAGTGCACGAGAATTCGAGTATGCTTCTTACATATAGAATACAATACAATACATTTTATAGAATTTATGTTTGAGAAAGTTTTACATATACGTTTCATGAAGCCCAGTTGTTTATGTGCTCCGTCTATTACTTGAAAACAATGTTAGGGTTTAAATCTATCTATATTAATATACAAAGATGAAGAATATCTTTGTTTGTTTGAACGCGCTAAACTCGGGAACTACTGGTTCGAAAAAATTATTATAATGTTGGTTAAAACATTTATCGAGGTAGAACTTGAGCGAAAAAACAGTGGAAAAAAAACGGGGTGAAAACTGTTCAAGATACACAAATAATATTGAAGTAAAAAGAATGATTCATCTGTAAATGATTTTAAGTTAAGTTTTAACTCGCAAGAACTAAGAGACCGACCGAGCTTAAATTAATACAGATGAAGAGGAGTTAACTATTCTACGCGGACGAAGTCGCTGCCACGGCTAGTATTAGATAAAAGTAGGGTGGGACGACATCCAGCAAAGTAGTAGTGGTAGCAAC